TTCAGAAGGTCATTCTCCTCGAGTTGAGTGGGCAATTCTTCACCAGAATTTCCAGTGCAACTACACCAGTCTCCATTAGTGCACCAAAAAGGCCTCTCTGCCTGATACTAGACCCCGCTCTATGTGCCACTCTGACTCAGCCAACCAATACCCAACCACTGATACCCAAATGGTGCCTTTGTCGTGGAGTGGAAAAGCTTCCCATGATAGGATGTGATAACACAAATTGTGAAACTACCTGGTTTCATTTTGAATGTGTTGGTATAACAATTGTGACAAATGTCATCAGCATGTTCCCTCTCAAAAGAAACAGAAGTACTAATCAATCTGAATGACAGTGTATATATTTATTTGATTAAACATGTTTCTTTTACATCAAATCTATATAAAGAACATGTAAGTGTAACAATCAAAAAAAGTTGTGCACACTAAAATGACACAAAGCATCATTATTTAAACTGACATTGAAAGAGCAAAACCTCAGCTCAAATATCCAAAACTCTAAATGTTCAGCTCTGCACCCAATTTGCAATTCAACTTTCCACTTTTTGAAAAGTAAAAGTATAACAACAGTATATTTGTGTTTCTGCACATATTTTGGAGACTTGAACAATCTTTATTTGCAGAATTCTCAAAAAATGTGTTTTAGCATTGAAAAAAAACTGTAATATGGACACAATGTTAATCTGTCTCTGTTATGTGAGGTGATCTCTGCAGCGTACAGTTAAAGGAGCATGTACTTGTTGTTCACCCTTTTTCAATGGGTAAATTGGAAACCTGTAATAAATATAATACTTTTCCCTTTCAATAGTTTTTTGTATGTATTTACCCAAGCTTAAATATTCTACCAGTACTATTACAGTGTGCAGTGCAGGTCTGAAACCACATTCAAGCAATTTGGGATGTGTCCAATCTGACAATAGAAAACTTGAGAGAAAAACATATTAATCTTCCATGCCTGAAAACAGCTTAAATACTTTTTCAAACATTCCCCTACACAACCAAACCCCAAATCACTGCTCTGATTATCAAGACATTTAATTGACCAAGTACAACATTGACAATAATGTAATACTAATTACAATACAAACATGTCATATTTTTTAATCTGATATGGGTTGATTGGGGTGTAACAGAATGTAAAGGCTCAATCAACGGGTATTACAGTATCACACAAATTATTCAGGTCGCAGCACACTTCAGCTATTTTATCCATCAATGTAATCCCACCTACATCTTTAGAAAGTAAAAAACCTATATGAATTGGTCCTCCCAAAATGGTATATCGCTGCCTTACACATCCTATGACACGCTCAACATGAATTTGCACGTTAGCAATTTTCCTTGTGTCAATAACATCTTTCATTGATAATTGTTTCCGGCCTTTCATGAATGCAGGCACCTTAACCTCAGCACACATGAAACCCACTGAGTCACTTATATTGAAACCTCGGTCTGCCAAAATCAAATCACCAGGCAAAATGTTATCTAAGAAGCCACCATTTTCTGTAATATGCTTATCACTGGACCTGCCACCCCATGCCCTTGAAATGAATGATATAACACCCTGCGGACAGATTCCTATCAGACATGTTATGGTGTTGTGATGTTTGTAGTTTGACCAAGTCTGAGCCCGTGCCATTACATTTGATGGCCTGTCAATGAAAACTTCAAAGCAGTCTATTATAACAGCCACTTTAGTACCACAATGAGTGCAGAAATCCATAGGCATTGTCAGTTGGAGTTCCTCTCGAGATGGCCACTTCAAAAGGAAACTCATACGTTTGAACATGACGTCGATAATCAAGGTAAACACACAGGATACTGTAGACGTGGACGTGTTGAATTTATAAGCCAGTTCTTGCAGGGGTTGGTTTAATCTTAATTTCATTAGTGTCAGTATAAACTGTTGAAATTTAGACAGTGAACTCTTAGCGTTCACACTGATGTGCAGTTCCACAAGATTGTATACCATCATTAGAATAGCAAAAGTAGGAAGTCCTGTGTAGAACCGCACACGGTCATCATCGCCCTTAAATGTACTCTCTGAAATGGTGGACTTTACAAGCTTTTCTTTTAAGTTAACATTTTCTGTTGTTACATTATTAATTTCAAATGACATTTTGTCAATCATTTCACCAGTCAAATCAGTCTGAGTTGCAGTGCCAGTCTCTGGTTCAATCAGTCCTTCTTCTTCCCCAGTGGCTCCCAGGACTGGTGCGGGCTCTTCTAGAGATGGTATATCAGATACCATGCTGTAGAGATCAAGTAGTGCGATGGATGACCTTTTTCTGGCGCGTTTATACCTGGCATGTGTAGCAGGGGAAGGTGCTGTAATTCTTTCGTGGCCCAATTTCACAGACGGTGCCCAGTCAGGATGATTTCTGTCAAAAAGTGCCACTGGTTTACCTGCAAATAAATCAGATTGTAGGTCAGTTATATCCTGGGTGAACTGTTAATTAATACAAATTTGACCTCTTTTGACAAGCGAAGTCAGACTTTAGATATATTTAAAATGCTGGTGTCAAGACATTGGAACATGACAAATAATTGAGGAAACCAAAAGCCTCTGAAAAGGTGCCAGGGACTGTACAGCCTTTACTGTTTACATATAATCAAATGGCCAGTAGGGGGAGGAATTACTTTAAATCACAGTTAAACGAAGCACTGCAGGGGATTGACAGACTGGTGTGAAGATGACCTGAGCCAAGGGATGACTTTACTTTGTAGATACTCCACAATCTGATATGTCGATCGATGACACAGACTCCAGGATTCCTATTTCCTTGTTAAGATACATGTCTTAGTACGTGGGTTATATGTTCATTTTGAATGTTTGTATGTAAAACCCGACACTTACCTGACGTGAAATGATCCCCACAAACGCGAGTATAGTTGTGGTTGGATGGTTTGAGATCCTCCCGTCCGATCCTATTGAGCCATTTTTCCCGGCGACGCTTTGAAAGCTCATGTGTTGCTTCACCCTGGTGTGTTATAACCGCCGGCAGCCTGTAAAATGACTTCGGCCCCCTGTTTCGATCACCTCTGTTGCCGCAGCCAACAATGGCACAGAAGTTAACCATTATATGTCCGGTAAAAAAACAGCTCTGACGTGTTACGGTGTCTGTTTTGGTACTCCAGTATGGCCGTTGGGCTGACGTCATATGCAAAGCCTCTATATCGCCTCGTTCACACATTAAATCAACAATTCTACTACAGATTCTACAAGCATCTGCGTGTCTCTGTTGCCTCCTATACGAGTCATTTTTAAACAATTTGAGAAACACTTTGGATTTATTATTTATTTATTTCAAATGTGAAATGTTACCAATATACTCACGGACCACTAGGGGTCGCTCACGGACCACACTTCACTGTGAGAACCCCTGATGTAGACGCTCAGCCACAGATGTTCAGACCCTCGTTGGACAGACTCTAAGCAGCTTCAGTGTGTCTCGAGCTCCTCTTCACTGACAGCAGGCTGACCTTTTTACTGCTGGTTGTTTGTAATGATGGTTTACATTATGTTAGTCTTAACGTGGATATCTCTCTGCGACACTTATCATTTATTTGGCATGATAAAAATGTCTGATTCTTTTCCAATAGTCTGGAGTTGTTGGCAGGCTTAGTCTCTCTTCGTCTCAATAAAAACGTTTCCCTTGACAGCCTGAAGCTCCAAAGGATTACACAGTTTAGGAACGTTAACAATGTAACAATGAAAACATGTTGAAGAGCTTTTCCTGGACCACAAGTCGAAATAAATCTTTGTCCCTTTGAGTCCTATCCTCCCCAACCAATGAGAAAAAGGAATGATTGGACCTACCGTTCCCTACATGTCCTCCCATTGGCTCAAGCATTGGTTCTGGTTCTGGTTCAGATATGCACATTAGCTGCAGGTTAGGGAGTAACAGGATACATATCATGGCCCTACGTAATTAGGATACAGAAGAAATGTAACTGTTATCCTTTAAAGCTACATTTTTTTAAACTGGCTTTTACTACCAGGATTCACATAGCTGTATTAGGTTAGTTGAGGCAATAATATTCAGTTAAAACACAGAATATTAGGTTCAATTTATTGCTTTCAACTAACCTAATACAGTGATGTGGAACCTGTTGACATAATGCACTTAATTAAAGTCAATCTTTATTTTGTTCAGTGTGTGTACTGCCTTCATTTGCCAAATGCATGTTTTTAAATTGCATTTTTTTTTAAAAAGTCAATTCTTTTAAACTGAATATCTTGGCTTCTTCTTTTCTGATGTTGTTGTCTTCTCCTTTCTGTTGTCACAATACAATGGGTTCCACTTTACAATAAGACTACCCTTATAAAGGGTTTACGAATAGTTTGTAATTAATGTATTAATTAGGTTGTGAACAAACCTATAAATCATTAATAAGCTTTTATAAGACATGAGATAAACAGGGCAACTGTGACTGCTTGCCAAATAGTGAGCCCACATTTATCTGTACTGCTAAGCCTTATTAGAAATGGTAGTAACTCATTAATAAATGGTCATAAAGAGATGCCAAGAAACATCAAGATGGAAGGGGGGGGATCAACTCAGTGAACAACAGATACCAAGGATGCTGGCTGATGAAGAAGACAAAGTAAGCTAGGTAGCCAACATAAGGCTTAGTCATCTTGCCAAATGGTGAGCCTGTGTTGATGTATGAAAACTATGTTAGAACTGGTTTATAAATGGTTCTTAATGATTAATAAACTGTTTACAACCTAATTAATAACCTAATGATAAACCCTTTATGAATGCTTTATAAGTCTTATTGTAAATCTTATTGACATTTCTTTTCTATTGTCTATATTTGCATGTTTGATATTGAGGTAATGCAAAAGTAACAGAAGTACCACGATATTAAAGTAATCAGGATACATTACTTGTATATCGTATTACTTAGATTACATTACTGACGACTAGTGATTGAAACGTGTTACATTTAGTAAGTTCCCATCCCTGGAAATATTGTTCATTCATCTGTCATTCAACAGACAAGGACTTTTATTCCAAAAGTTTGAGGATCCAGAAGGTTTCAGGTTATGGTGATAAAGTATCAAATCCAGCCTTATGTTCGAGGTTTTATTCTTATAAATGGTTAAATACAGTACTCAGATTACACTGATTGGTTCCTCACTTCCAGCAGCAGGGGGCGCCAGCACATCATTTAAAGATCTTCCTCTGGCAGGTTTGAGTGCATGTAAATGGTCTTATTTTGTCCTTGAAAGTCTCTGAATTCTGACTGTTTTCAGAGAGCTCCAAAGGTGTTCGAGCAACACCAATGTTGAAGACAAAATCTCAAAATCCTGATGAGAACTGGAGCAGTTTTTAGCAGGCTAAAGATATTCCTGAGTCACGGTGGATTTCTTCATCGTGTCCTGCGCTCTCCCTCTCCTCTTCCTCTCACCTCTTCCTCTTCCTCTCACCTCTTCCTCCGACGTCACACACAGTTTCTCACAGTCGGTCTGCATGTCGAAGCGGTTTGCGTTGCCGTGGCAGCCTCCGTACTTGAAGCGAGAGCATCTCCTCTGCTTGCTGTTGAAGAACCACTTCACTTTGAAGTCCTTACAGGGGCCGGGGTCCTTCCAGAGGAGACAGACGTCTGGAGGAGGAACGAGAAAATACATAATGTGTCATGTTTTTGCTTTAAAAACTATAATATATAGTCTGTCTGCAGCTCATAGAGTCCACATTTAAGATTCAAAGGTTTTATTGTCATATGCACATCAGCTACAGTGTAGAAATGTCAATGAAATTCTTCTGACCTGAGCTCCTCCAACAATGCAACATATATAATAAAATACAAAAATACAAAATAGTGCAAGAAGTCTACTGAAATTAAATAATGTACATTAGGACAAAATTAAATATGGTTTATTTCAGTAGTCCTGTTGTGAACCCTGAAATGTTGAGTACCCCAAAGTTTTATGATATAAATGTAAAGTAGGGTCTCCAGCTCATAGAAACTGCCGGATGCTAACCTGCAGATGCTGGGACATTTGAACGATTATAGCATTAGTTGCGTTAATTAGCATTATAGCCATGGGGACAATATAAAATGGCTTGGCTGATTTTGACATTTCTGGAGTGGTTATTGGGGTTCTTAAGGATGCAGAATCCATTTCTGACATTTTCTCTCTGTGGACTGATTCTGACTACCATGAGTAGAGTTGGACCATTGGATATAGAGAGCACACGATGAACATTGTTATCTCTACTGTGGACACTTTATCTTCAAATAAATAAGCAATCTGTCCAATCCAGATCATCCAGAGTCCCCTAAATCTTCCAAATCGACCCAACATTTATTCAAATCAGCCAACAGAGAGAACAGATATGTCCTCTTTCTGGTTAAAACTGAGATTGTTGATCCTGAAAATGTCAGAAATGGACTCAGTAACCTCCAAAATGTTCCAAATCAGCCAAGCCATGTTCAACTATTGTCTCCATTAATGCTAATTAAAGGTAGGGTAGGTACGTTTGAGAAACCGGCTCGAGATACACTTTTTGTTATATTCCATGGAATGCTCTTAACATCCCGATAGCAATGAATATCTTAAGGTATCATCTGTGGAAGCTGTAGTACTGTAAAAAGCACGACCAGTCATTTGAGCCGGCCCGGCTAAAATAACTGGATGGCCTACCTGCCTGTCAGCCTTCCATCTGTGCACAAACTTATCTCGTGCCCTCATTGGTCATGTGCGCGTTCGTGTGTGTTGGAGGAGGGGCTCTGTAAGGAAGTGGCAGATTTTCTCCGGTTGTGTATTTTCAAATTCTAGCGATCTCGAGCCGGTTTCTCAAACTTACCTACCCTACCTTTAACTCAACTTATGCTAATTGTGCAAATGTCCCAGCATCTGCAGGTTAGCATCCTTCTATGCTAGTTTCTATGAGCTGGAGACCCTACTCTACATTTCTAATATAAAACTTTGGAGTCCTCAACATTTCCTGGTTCACCAAGCTGGAAACTAGACTATACACTTTGTTCTGAGCAGAGCGCTGCACTGGTAAAAGTGCTGCTCCAAAAACAAGTCAATATATAATAAAAACAAGGTGTTTTCTCTTTTAATAAGTGAACAAACCTGCCAATAGAACAAGTACAAAATGGCTTGGTGAGATTTCTTGAAGTAAAGATGGGATGATTAGATAAATGACATCTTGTGTTTAGCTGGGGAAACTTATGTTGAACTATATTTGACCAGAATCAGGGAATTTGTAAAGAAAAAAGCCAGAAATGCTCAGATTCTGTTTCCTGATGTTAGCTGGAGATGTTCCTCTAAAATAAGATGTTTTTAAGAGACTTTGACTCAAAAGGATGCTTAAGATGCCTTGTCTAAAAACAAGACTTAAGTTATTAAGTCTTATATCAAGTTTAACGACATATTCTGACTAGAAATTAGACAAAATACTTGGCAAGATTTTACATTGTTGCAGTATGTGTGTAGCTACCTAGCTCAATTCCAGAGATGAGCTAGGTAGCTACTTTGTGTGTGTGTGTGTGTGTGTGTGTGTGTGTGTGTGTGTGTGTGTGTGTGTGTGTGTGTGTGTGTGTGTGTGTGTGTGTGTGTGTGTGTGTGTGTGTGTGTGTGTGTGTGTGTGTGTGTGTGTGTGTGTGTCTCTACCTATGCTCTCAGCTCCAGCGAGGAGAATCACCTCGTCTCCACGGCTCTCAGTCCGTCCTCCCGTCCGATCCTCAAACTTCTCGCCCAGACTGGACGGCCATGTTGGAAAAAGTATTCGGACCCTTTACTTTTGGTGTCTCTTTGCATTTCTTTAATTTAACTTTCTCCGCCGCCTTAGCTCTTTCAGCACAAGAAGAAAAACGCTTCTTTTGTTTTTTCTACATCTGTGATTCTGCCGTAATGCCCGACTACAAGTGTTTCACTTTGGTGCCATTGTGCTGATAACACAAACTGTGTAAAATCAGTCAGTACATTTTGAACTACTTTGACTTTACTGGAGTTTTCCTCTCGTCTGCAGCTTTACAGTTGTGTGTAAACCTTGAAAGTGTGAGTTACCCGTTGATCTGCTGTGTTTCTGCTGGGTCTCTCAGTTCACTGCAGCTTAGAGACGGAGGAGAATACTTGATCACTCCCTCTGGAAAAACAACACAAACACTTTTGTTATTGAAACAATTATATAACCAAGATGTCAACTTTGCACACACTTCGTCGTCCACTTTTAATAAGAAAATGTATTGGAAGTGTGAATTAGTTAGTTTTCTCAATGTGGAGAGCAGAGAGAAAATAAAATAATTAAGTATATTTACCACTTTAATGTCTGATAAAAATACATAATGTAGTAAATGTACCACTTTTATGTCTAAAAAATTAAAAAAGAATCTAGTGAAATTAACACTTTAATCTCAGCAAAAATTTGAAAACAATCCTGTAAATATAACACTTTAATCTCTAATTAAAATATTTAAAAATAAAAGTGTTAATGTACCACTTTGGTTTTAGAAAACCAACATGAAAAACTAGTAAATGTACAAATTGAATCGAGGAGACATTTACCAAAGAAAATCAACTTTAATTGCAGCGAGTGCCCCCCCCCCCCCCCCCCCCCCCACTGTCCTCACTGCTGAGAGTGGAGAGGAAGACCCTGAAGAAGCGCTGGGTGTAGAGTGTGTGTAGAGTGTGTGTAGAGCGTAGAGTGTGTGTAGAGTGTGTGTAGAGTGTGTGTAGAGTGTAGAGTGTAGAGTGTGTGTAGAGTGTAGAGTGTGTGTAGAGTGTAGAGTGTGTGTAGAGTGTAGAGTGTGTGTAGAGTGTAGAGTGTGTGTAGAGTGTAGAGTGTGTGTAGAGTGTAGAGTGTGTGTAGAGTGTGTGTAGAGTGTGTGTAGAGTGTGTGTAGAGTGTAGAGTGTGTGTCCTCACTGCTGAGCGCGGAGAGGAAGACCCTGAAGAAGCGCTGGGTGTAGCTCTGCTCCTCGGCCTTCAGTCGGTCCAGGTGGATGAGGTGCTGCAGGAGTGGCCCCCCCGCCACCTCCTCCACCTGCCTGCGGTCGTAGCGCTCGCCCACCGTCACCACGAACTGCGCCACCCCCTCACACTGGGCCTTCTGGGAGACGTAGCTGAGCTGGGCCCGGTCCTGGGGGGCCGTGCTGGTTCCCACCAGGGTCAGCACCACCCTCCTGCTGCGGGGCTGCGCTGCCTTCAGGAGCAGCTCCGTCAGGGCCGAGTCCAGAGTGAAGCCCAGCGCAGAGGAGCCGCCCTGCATCCACAGTGAAGGGAAGAAGAAACATTATTTTAAATCTTTAGCTAGACAGCAGCTCTGCCTCTTTCATCTCCAATCTAATGATGAAGAATAATCGAGTAAATGTACAGTTACATTACATGTTTTACTCAATGCCCTGGCTGATCATTGCCCCTCTTCGAGTGGTTCTCCCTGTCTGAGTGTCTGCAGGTGTGCTGGAGTCAGAGCAGCCCCCCACCAGCTGAAGCCCTTAAAGACTCAGCCCGGCCACATCCACGCTGCCAGATGGTAGAAGCTGCTCGTCAGCGTATACATCAAGCCAGGTCATATTAGAGATTCCATTGACCCTGTTCTGTTTGTGTTCCCCTGCAGTCCTGCCTGCTCTGCTGCAGCCCCTGTAGACCGCTCAGACCCACAACCTCTGACCGGATTCCCTCCCATTCAGCTTCCCTTCACACCCCTCAGCTCTGATCAACCCAGCTTTTTTTCCCCCCAGAAAATAAACCTTTTTCCAAAGGCTACTGTCTGTGTCTGCACCTGGGTCCGCCTGTTCTGCTGCCTAACACGTACCACTTTATTCTCCTGACATAGTATTGGTATCAGGGACGGTGTACCTGCTGCGTCATGTTCATCAGGTGCCTCTTCATCTGGCCGGAGGTCTGGAAGGTCCCGAACCCAAACTCCACCTTGGGGGCCCGGAAGCCGCTCTGCTGGATGAGGGCCACCCGGGCCCCTGATCCGGCCCTGCGGGGGGTGGGGCTCACGGCCAGCTGCTCCACCACGGAGCCCAGCAGCTGCTGCATGCCGGCATACTCGTCAGCCTGCACCTCCCTGGAGCTGTCCAGAACCAGAACCAGGTCCACATCCGCCTCCTGAGGCGGCAGCGGGTCCAGGATGAAGGAGCACTGCTGCGAGCGCTGGCACGGGTCTGAGGGAACACACAGTCAACATTGTTTATTAAAGGTCACCTATCATGCTATTTTTAGGCAATAGCATAGGTCTCAGATATATACAAATATAGACATGTTTTTTATATATTTGTATATATCTGAGACAAGGACAGTATTCCCTGTGTTTGTGTGTGTGTGTGTGTGTGTGTGTGTGTGTGTGTGTGTGTGTGTGTGTGTGTGTGTGTGTGTGTGTGTGTGTGTGTGTGTGTGTGTGTGTGTGTGTGTGTGTGTGTGTGGCTACGTACCGTAACAGATGGCACAGTTCTTGACCTTCATCAGGTCAGCGGTCCTCCTCAGCACCGTGAACATGGAGGATCCGGAGTCGTCCACCTGACATCACAAACAGCAGCTCTACATCAAAGGACTGACAACCCTCAAACACAACGACAGCTGACACCAGCCTGCATGCTCTCCAACACAAGCATTTATTTAATAACGGCAGGAGGATTTATTGTTATTAGTGGTACTAGCAGAGATGGGGTCGTTACTCAAATAAAGTAATATATTACATATTACTTATTACTTTAAAAAAAAAGTAATATAGTGCTTTACTTCATTACTCTCTACATAAAGTAACGCGTTACTTTACTCGTTACTTTACTCGTTACTTTACTCGTTACTAGATTGCGGAGGGTGCAGCATTTTGCGGAGGGAGCCTCATCTGAAGCGCAAATGCGGCGCACCTACAAGTGTGCCACAGTTTTCGCCGCTGCGAGGCTCCACTAGCACCCCCCCCCCCCCGTCGACGCGGGACACAGAGGGCCTCATCATATAACTTTGCGTGTTTGCTGTTTACTCGTTACTTTACTCGACATCCTCACTCTGGATTCGGAGGTCCTCCTTAGCTATTAGCTTCACGTTAGCATGTTGTCTTTGCAGGTGCTTGTTGAGGTTTGACGTGGTGTTTGCAGCAGTGGATAAAAGCTTCTGGCCTGGACACAGTTTGCACCTCAGCGTCACATTCCTGTCCTTTCTTCAGACGAACTCAAAATAATGGGCATACCTCCACCCCTCGAAAGTTATGGCTGTCTCAGCCATGTTTATGCACTGCATGTGGACGCGCAAGTCGCGCAAATGTTACGTAAATATAAACCTGCGGCGGAAATCCCTCTTGTCTGTCAAAGGGAGAATCTAGTAATTCTGTATCTTAGTAGGCTAACTGTAGTGTGATTACTGAATTATAAAAGTAACGCGTTACATTACTCCGTTACCGACAAAAGTAATGTTATTACAGTTACTTTGTAACGCGTTACACCCAACTCTGCGTACTAGTATGTTTTAAGTCAATACATCAAATCTCCCTCTGCTGCTAAATTTGAGTTATTTTGTACCTTTAATCACAGAGATCCATAACTTCTATATTTAGTTTCTGGACAGAAAGTGGCTTTGGATTTGTTCAACTTTTTACTGTGATATCCTGTTTCAATAGTTACTTTATCACTTTATCACTTTATTTTTGCTGTATTATTATTTTAATTTGTATTCTATTTAATCTTTATTTTGACCTTGTGTGAATACTGTTTTTAACTCTGACCCTGTTGCTGCCATAAACACCTGAATTTCCCCAAGGGGATAAATACATTTCCATCTTATCTTATCTTATAAAAGCGTCAGCTACATGTGATGTCAAGTAAATCCTTTTACTGCCGGACCCACCTCCAGAGCCTTGGCGACGTCGGGATCGTTCTTCAGCGAGATGACGGCGGGGACGATGTTGAGGCCGCGGTACTCCATGGTGGCGGTGACGATGTCCTCCACGTCCTGCGACGGCCCGCTGGAGAGGAAGATGGCCACCTTCCTCATCATCACCCCCGCTCTTACACGCTTGAAGACGTGCTGCCCCACGAAACGCATGGCGGCCCCCAGCTGGCGCCGGCTGGACGTTGTCTCCAGGGCCACGTTCCTCAGCAGCTCCAGCAGCTGCGTCTTGGTCCGGTAGTCCTGGAAGCGGATCAGGTACTTGGTGTGGGCGCTGAATCCCACCACGGCCACCCGGGCCCCCGCCGGACAGTTGCTCTCGGAGACGGAGACGTCCTCCAGCAGAGACAGCAGGGCAGAGCGCTGCCGCTCGAAGGCCACCGGGGTCACGTCCTCCGACATGTCCAGCCCCAGAACCAGCTCCGTGGGGAAGGCCGGGCACGAAGAGGCCCCTGGAGGAGAGACGGGGATGATTGATAGGGTAGTTAGATAGGGTAGGTAGATAGGTAGATAGATAGATAGATAGGGTAGATAGATAGACATGGACATTGTTGAGCAAGGATTGGGCAGATTGGGCAGATTGGGTTAACCCTCTAAAAACCAAAATATTGCAGAAAAAATGTATATAATTCAGCGTCATGTTACCCAACTGTCCAAAATCACAGGTAACAGACATTAAAAATGAGGGTAAAAGGTATAATGTGAATTATATACATTTTTTTAAATTGTGCTTACCATATTGTTTACAGTGACAAATTCAAGACATACGTACCTTGATGACATTCTGTATGAGGAGAAAAGACAGTGTTAAAATTGAACAGCCTTTACATGAGTCGGTACAATTTGCACTTAATTCTTGAGTAAAAATTAAACACAATTAATTCAGTAATATGAAACTCTCAAACGTAGTACATTCACATGATTGCCTTTAATCCTTCGTATGTGAACAGTGATTTAAAACAGATGTGGAAACGCTCACCACAGTTGTCTCTGATGAGGGAGATCAGCTGACACTCCTGACAACACAACATATTACATTATAATCAACAATATCAATACTCCAATACAAGTACAAGTCCTGCATTCAAACCATACTGAAGTTAAAGTATGTATCAGTCAAAAGTATTAAAAGTACCTTAAGAAAAAGTGTGTATCAGTAAAATGTATTCAAAACGTATAGAAAAAGTATAAATTGTGCATTAAAAAGTATTTCAAGTACTTGAAGGAACAGTATATAAACTAAAGCTTTGGTAAAATCTGCATTTACCTGTAAAGTGAAGTACAAGTACAAGACACTGGAGAATGGAAACACTCCAGTAAAGTTAAAGTACCTCATATTTTAAGTACAGTACTTGAGTAAAAGTGACTTTGACTCACAGTCTTGACTCTGAGTCCTGGAGGACCCTTGGGACCCTGACGGAGGGAAACAGCAACGTCAGAACATTTTCAGAAGGTCAGGTTTTCAGGAGGACTCGGCTCAGGAACCCAATACTATTTGAGTTTGTGTGAGTTGACATTATGACAGAACAATGACAATGACAATTATATCTTTCTAGAAAAACCCCTGGTATCATTTATTTGTATTACTTAAATGAAATGTTATAACTGGAAACACAAAAACAGGACTGAAAATAATCCATTGGAAACCACGAATAGAAAGAGATGGACCGATTCAGTTCAATAAAAGTGAAATAACACCAGAGAGAACAACTGAATAATACGAGTCTCTTATTCTTATTGAATGATGTCGTTACGAGGGTTCAGAGGGAAGACTTTCTGTTTTGAATGAAAATGAAATGATTCTCCTCTCACCCGGTGTCCTGGATGTCCCGGATCTCCAGGCGTTCCTGGTCCTCCCGACCCGCCTGAGCTCCCCTGGATCCATCAGAAGGAAACAGAAATAAACTGCTAGTTGCGAGAACTCTGGGTGAATTTGTTAGAGACTGGTCCCCGATTGCACCGTACATGAAGGAAGAATGGTCAAGTGTTATAACTGTGGGCGTAAATATAACATGATAAGGTACTACTGTTGCTGTTTGTCTGTTTTTGTTGTTGTTTGTTTTGTGGGTTTTATTACGTTTTGTCGTGTTGTCTCTAATGTTTTTGGTATTGTCTCACCTGAAAATAAAATCTAAATATATTGAAAGAAAATAAGTAAATTGCAGATGAAGTGAAAACACAGCACAGGAAATGGACCTGTGCTGCCTGGCTCTGCTCTGGATCCATCGTGAGGATAGTACTTACAGGCAGCATTAAGTCATACTTCCAAAAATAAAACCTGTTAAAGTTATAAAGTAATATAATAAGCGTCTTTGAGCACTGGGAAAAGCGCTATAGTCTCATAGAGTCCTGTTGAACCCTGGGTGTCTTATCATTTCGCCCCTTCCCAATTCACTCCTAAATTATTCCCATTTCGCCCCTTTCCCATCCCCTTCCCAATTCGCCCCTTTTTTACATATAGGCCACATAAGAAATTATACTTGTTTGCTTGGTCGTGGGTCTTAGGGTTAGGGTTAAAGTTTATAGATCTAATGATGCATCCAATGAAGCATTGCATGAAGTCTGTTGACGAATCAGAGGCTGTTGTTGGGGCTGCATGGGACAGGGGGCGAAATGGGAATAAACCGAAATGTTGAGTACCCCAAAGTTTTATGTCAGAAATGTATAGTAGGGTCTCCAGCTCATAGAAACTGCCGGATGCGAACCTGCATATCTTGGGCAATTTGAACAAATAGCATGAGTTGCGTTAATCAAACTAATGGCATTATAGCCTACTGTATGTTGATAATAGTTAAAAAGATTGCTTGGCAGATTTGGACAGTTTAGGAGTGGTTCTGGGGGTTATTGAGGATGCTGAATCCAATGACAGTTTTAACCAGAAAATGCCAATATTTGTAATCTCAGTGGGCTGATTTAGATTATTTTGGGTCAATTTGGAGGTTTTAGGGGACCATTTGGATTGGACAGATTGCTTATTTAATTGAAGATAAATTGTCCACAGTAGAGGTAATAATGTTCATCTTGTGCTCTCTATATCCAATGATCACAACTCTACTCATGGTAGCCAAAATCAGCCCACTGAGAGAACAGATATGACCACTTTCTGGTTAAAACTGCCATTGTTGATCCTGGAAATGTCAGAAATGGACTCAGGATCCTCAATAACCTCCAAAACAAACGGTCAAAATTGGAAGTGATTTCAAAAAAAATTCACTCGTGTGCTTGGAACGTTGATAAAATTATAAACAAGGGGAAACAAGGGGAATTTAGCGATCACAACAAAAACGGCCAAGACACACATTGAGCCCAGAAAATGAATGTTATTAAGGGCTGTAAATATAATAAGCCTGTGTCTAAAATGGACAACATTGTTAGGAGATGTAAACTATACAACGGTTCTGCACTGCGTCACTCAGCCGTCTCTCCACTTTGTTTTTTCAAATCAGCTGCTCTTCATTTTGTTTTTACAAATATTTGTTACCACAAGTTCTTAATAAAACTGACACTGTTGGACTCGGTACTAGTTTGACTGCTACCAACAATAAAAGGAAGTACTTTTACTGTGTACTTTGTGAGTAATCCTCTGTCAGAGTCCCCTCCATAGTACATAATGCATGTTTTCTGCTATCTTTGATGAGTGATAAAAAGAACATTTTACCATTAGTTCTTAATGATATTGAGACTGCTGGACTAGTCTTACACATACTACCACAATACAATGAAGTAGCCTACTTCTAGTGTGTTTTTTGTTGTTGTCAAAGTCCCCTCCTTAGAACAAAGTCAAGCCACTTCTGCTAAGTTTGATGAGGGAAAACATTTTTTTTTGCCATTAGTTCTTCGTGAGATTGACACTGTTGGACTCAGTACTAGCGAAACTACTCCCACAAACACTATGAAGTACTTTTACTGTGTATTTTTTGAGTAATCCTCTGTAAATGACCCCTCCTGAGAACAAGAATGTTTCTCTTCTATTTTTGAATAAGCGTTAAAACACCTTTCTTCATGAGACTTATATTGTTGGACAGAGTATTTTAAGAGGATGGTCAGAGCCGTCCCTCCCTACAGGCTGATCAGGGCCGTCCCTCCCTACAGGCTGATCACGCAGACTGCGTGGGGCCTCATCTTGCGGAGGGAGCCTCAACTGAGCTTATGTGGCGCAATTAGTGTGGCGCGGCACGGTTTGGCCGCTGCGAGGCTCCACTAGCACCACCAGGTGGTTCTCAGGAGGGGACTTCGACAGAGTATTTCTCAAAAAATACACAGTAAAAGTACTTCAATGTATTGTTGGTAGCAGTCAAACTAATACTTGAGAAACGCTGCTACTGATTGGGCCCGGACTGGCCATCCCGATGGCCTGGCCTGTTAAGTGGCCTGGTGGCCTGAGGATTTCTTTATTGTTTTGTATGTATTGTGAACGCAACGCTGTTTAATAAAGAAAAACAAATGGACCGTAGATACACGGATTCATCTCCCCCATCATGTTGATTTGAATCTTCTGAGCCAATCACAGCGCGATAATGACCTGCCTTCTGTTTCCACTATACTTTCTCTCACACATGCATGCATTCTTCTCTTGCATACATATATTGTCTTCAGACATGCATATATTATTTATAATATTAAATGTAAACATTGAATGAATGTGCATGAGAGCAAAATGTATAAATATGTGAGTGACATTATATGAATGTGTGAGTGTAAATACTATATGTGTGTAAGAGTGAAAATATCTGTATGTAAAAGGAGAATGTATGAGCGTGAGAGGACCAGTATGAATGACGGCCTGTACGGCCCCTCATATTTATACGTTTCTGCACAATGCTCTACCTCTGTTACAATATGTATTTGTATATATATAAATATGTAGAAGAGGTTTGTTGTCTCTCACCCCTCGCCCTCGGTTCCCTCTCGTCCCGTTGAACCCTTTAGTTCCCTGCCGGCCGTCCTCTCCCTGAACACACACACACACACACACACACACACACACACACACACACACACACACACACACACACACACACACACACACACACACACACACACACACACACACACACACACACACACACACACACACACACACACACACACACACAGTTCAAACTCACGTATTTGGCTGCATGTAGCTGTATATCGTTATCTCGCTCTCCTACCTTCTCCCCCACATAGCCTCTTCTCCCATCGGCAGCCTGCCACACAGAGAACAGCTCATCAGCACATTGAAATCATCCCAAATACATGTTTCACTCTCATAAAGTTAACAAGGTGAGTAGGAAGACATTGGATTGGATAAGAGCGTTTGCATCAACCAGTTTTTATCTTATTGCCTTTATATTTGATAAACACAGAGCAAAGAGGTGTTCAATATAATAATACAAATAGGAATATCTGCGAGGTTTATGTGCTTCTTTCATTTTTGTAAATCCAGACTTGATTCCCAACATTTAATGGTATTTCTAAAATGAAAACAAAAATAAATAAAAATCTCCCCCCTGCCATGCTGGCTGTGAAAGAGGGGCGTGGCTCTGCTTTACAGGCCACTTTAGATGATGTGGCGCTCTGTGATTGGCTCATAGTCACCCAATCAAATAAGCCAGTACAATTGTGTGGAGTCATGTGACAGTCAAAATAGACCTAGGCATCCTAGAAAAGTTATGATCATTATAATGAATGGGTTAATGTGATCAGAAAATGCTGTGAACCCTGAAATGTTGAGGACCCTAAAGTGTTATGATATACATGTACAGTAGGGTCTCCAGCTCATAGAAACTGCCGGATGCTAACCTGCAGATGCTGGGACATTTGCACAATTAGCATAAGTTGCATTCATTAGCGTTAATTAGCAGTAATGGAGATAATAGTTGAAAAATGGCTTGGGCGATTTTAAAACATTAAGAGTGTTTTGGGAGGTTATTGAGGATGTTGAATCCATTTATGACGTTTTCGGGATCAAAGATGGCCGTTTTAACCAGAAAATGGCCATACAGTATTTGTACTCATATTTGTGCTGGACTGATTTTGATTATGTTTGCCATTGTTGATCCTCCATATGCTAATGATTGCGACTCATGGTGATTGTGCAAATGTCCCAACATCTGCAGGTTAGCATCCAGCAGTTTCTACAAGCTGGAGACCCTACTATACATTACTATCATAACACTTTGGGGTATTCAACATTTCCAGGTCCACTAAGCTGGCATGTTGACCAATGTGATATTTAGAATGTTTGTTATTGTCTAACTATAGTGTTGGACGTTTTTCTGTATGTTTCTTCCTGTTTGTTGTTCGGAGAGCATCTGGTGCCCCGTGTGAGGTCACTATGATCAGCTGTTCTGTAGGAAACAGCGTTAACCCGGGTAATCGAATTGACAATTTTGCTTAGAAATTGCACCAGGATCTTGAGCATGTTACCTGTTCCTCCAAAGAAAAGGGTTAGGTACACTGGAAAGAATGCTGCTCCAAAAACAAGTCAATGTATAATAAAAACAAACCTGCCAATAGAACAAGTACAAAATGGCTTGGTGAGATTTCTTGAAGTAAAGATGGGATAATTAGATAAATGACATCTTGTGTTTAGCTGGGGAAACTTATTTTGAACTATATTTGAACAGAATCAGGGAATTTGTAACAAAAAAAGCCATAAATGCTTAGATTCTGTTTCCTGATGTTAGCTGGAGATGTTCCTCTAAAATAAGATGTTTTTAAGAGACTTTGACTCAAAAGGATGCTTAAGATGCCTTGTCTAAAAACAAGACTTAAGTTATTAAGTCTTATATCAAATGTAACGACATATTCTGACTAGAAATTAGACAAATATACTTGGCAAGATTTTACATTTTTGCAGTAAAGAGTCTTTTATTGAGGACTTCTCATTGGATGCGTAGACTGTAGTGTTGCATGGATTCAACCAAACAAACACGAGCACTCCACAAGAGTCACTACACTTATAATAATACTCAATAAGCATCAGTCCAGTTCTCTGTTAAAGGTTTTATGGAATTCTTTATGGAAATGTGGTCAAGATGAGCTTTACCTCTGCACCGTTTGGTCCTGGAGGTCCATACCCGTCTCTCCCATCCTGACCCTGAAACACAGGCAGGAGTCACTTCAACTCTAAATACAGTTTACACCATATGGCTGATGTTTGGCGCCTCACCGGCAGTCCTTGGGGTCCTGGTGACCCTGGGTCCCCCTCACCCCCCAGCTCCCCTGGTTGGCCCTGCAACAACAACAACAACGACAACATCAGTATTTCAAATAAAAGATCCCATTGTTAGTTGTTAAGTCAAATGTATCTTCCTACATTATAGTTTTGAATGTTGTCAAACAATCTTTATTGAGCAGCATATTGGGTCAACCAGTTTCATCCATATATATTATATTTTTGTATTTCAAAATGTATATTTTCTACTTTTTTAATGCTATTTTATATCTATTTGAGATGTTTACATTTTTGATTGTTTATTTCTAGTCTTTTAATTTCTCTAATGTCCAATGCCTTGTCTTTTGATGCTGCTGCAACGCAAACATTTCCCACATTGGGATCAATAAAGTACTTCTTATCTTATCTTGTCTTATCTTATATAAATACACAATAGTATGTATAATAATAATGATGCTATAACTACTCTACTGCCTGCATTTAATCACATGAATGACTGCTAAAGTATTGTATTGAGATACACCTTGATGTGTTCATATATAAACATGGTAAATACATTAAAGCTTTCTCATTTCTCTCATTTCCCCTCCTCGACTCCTATCCTCGACTCCTATCCTCGACTCCTATCCTCGACTCCTATCCTCGACTCCCCTCCTCGACTCCTATCCTCGACTCCTATCCTCGACTCCTATCCTCGACTCCCCTCCTCGACTCCCATCCTCTACTCCTATCCTCGACTCCTATCCTCGACTCCCCTCCTCGACTCCCATCCTCGACTCCCCTCCTCGACTCCTATCCTCTACTCCTACCCTCGACTCCCCTCCTCGACTCCCATCCTCGACTCCCCTCCTCGACTCCTATCCTCTACTCCTATCCTCGACTCCCCTCCTCGACTCCCATCCTCTACTCCCATCCTCGACTCCCATCCTCGACTCCCCTCCTCGACTCCCATCCTCGACTCCTATCCTCGACTCCCATCCTCCACTCCTACCCTCGACTCCTACCCTCGACTCCTATCCTCGACTCCCATCCTCGACTCCCATCCTCTACTCCCATCCTCGACTCCCATCCTCGACTCCCCTCCTCGACTCCCATCCTCGACTCCCATCCTCTACTCCCATCCTCGACTCCCATCCTCGACTCCTATCCTCGACTCCCATCCTCGACTCCCATCCTCGAATCCCATCCTCGACTCCTATCCTCGTGTCTTAGTCCCTTCTATGTGTGTAATTTAAGTGCACAATTCCCCAACTCTGATTGGATCACTAGAGAGGTAACAGGAAATGATGTCACACACCTTCTGTCCAGTAGCGCCGCGGCGTCCGGATAGCCCCGGGCCTCCAGCTGGTCCCGCCCCCCCCTGCAGGAACAACAACTGACTTAGAACAGGAAGTGCTGAAACTACCAAAATAAAAGTTTACACAAGTGTAATTTGACAAACACATAAATAACTTTCTGGAATAGTACAGCAGCCTGAATAATCACAAATGATGTCAAACTTGAAATTCAACAGCAATAAAACACAGGTTCACATTTCAGTCTTTAAACAACACGCCCATACATATATATAAATATATACACTTTATCATATGAATACAGTTAAACCCTATGACCTAAGGAAACGGTTGTGTACACTGGTTATATAAATAGCAAATTATTGTTCCCTTGTTGTCTCTTTATGCTTTAGTAAATGTTTTAATTCTAATCTTTTATATATTGCTCTTATTTTGTGCTCATTTGTGTTTATCTGTATTTATTTCTGGACTTCCACATCTACATTTCTTTTCTGAAATGTACATTTCGAGACGTTATGGTCCAGTAGAGATCCTTTTTATGTCCAGGTCAGTGTGAACCTACTGAATGCAGTCTGTGCCGAAACACTGAACTGCAGCGAAGACGAGCAGCGAGGAAGTACCTGAGGTCCGGAGGAGCCAGAGGTCCCTTCCTCTCCTTGTTCACCTTCTCCGCCTCTGAGGCCCTGCAGAAGCACATTCAAGAATCATTCAAACATGTTTATATCTTGCATTGCACTAGGATTTGTACTTTATAAATGTATGTTTACAACGACGTCAAAAACTGTGATTAATATCAGAAAAAACACTCAGAAATGTACGTTAAAACATTTTCTCTGGCATCATCTCTTCATGTTTTCCCTTTTGGCATTACTCAACAGTTCTAGTGAATTTCTGAGGAAGTCTGTGTGCGAGCCAATCAGGTCATCGAGTCCAACATCTGCAGCCAAACACTTAAAGAGGCCTGATGTCTGGGGTTTTCCCCTGTATCTCCTGTAGTGTCCTCAAATCCCTACCCTCACACACACATCCACCATGTGTATATCAGTATGTGGTGTCTCTACTTTAAAGAGTCCTCTCCTGCTGATGTTCAGGTGTATATCAGTATGTGGTGTCTCTACTTTAAAGAGTCCTCTCCTGCTGATGTTCAGGTGTATATCAGTATGTAGAGTCTCTACTTTAAAGAGTCCTCTCCTGCTGATGTTCAGGTGTATATCAGTATGTGGTGTCTCTACTTTAAAGAGTCCTCTCCTGCTGATGTTCAGGTGTATATCAGTATGTAGAGTCTCTACTTTAAAGAGTCCTCTCCTGCTGATGTTCAGGTGTATATCAGTATGTGGTGTCTCTACTTTAAAGAGTCCTCTCCTGCTGATGTTCAGGTGTATATCAGTATGTAGTGTCTCTACTTTAAAGAGTCCTCTCTTGCTGATGTTCAGGTGTATATCAGTATGTAGTGTCTCTACTTTAAAGAGTCCTCTCCTGCTGATGTTCAGGTGTATATCAGTATGTAGTGTCTCTACTTTAAAGAGTCCTCTCCTGCTGATGTTCAGGTGTATATCAGTATGTAGTGTCTCTACTTTAAAGAGTCCTCTCCTGCTGATGTTCAGGTGTATATCAGTATGTGGTTGTCTCTACTTTAAAGAGTCCTCTCCTGCTGATGTTCAGGTGTATATCAGTATGTAGTGTCTCTACTTTAAAGAGTCCTCTCCTGCTGATGTTCAGGTGTATATCAGTATGTAGTGTCTCTACTTTAAAGAGTCCTCTCCTGCTGATGTTCATGTGTATATCAGTATGTAGTGTCTCTACTTTAAAGAGTCCCTCTCCTGCTGATGTTCAGGTGTATATCAGTATGTAGTGTCTCTACTTTAAAGAGTCCTCTCCTGCTGATGTTCAGGTGTATATCAGTATGTAGTGTCTCTACTTTAAAGAGTCCTCTCCTGCTGATGTTCAGGTGTATATCAGTATGTAGTGTCTCTACTTTAAAGAGTCCTCTCCTGCTGATGTTCAGGTGTATATCAGTATGTAGTGTCTCTACTTTAAAGAGTCCTCTCCTGCTGATGTTCAGGTGTATATCAGTATGTAGTGTCTCTACTTTAAAGAGTCCTCTCCTGCTGATGTTCATGTGTATATCAGTATGTAGTGTCTCTACTTTAAAGAGTCCTCTCCTGCTGATGTTCAGGTGTATATCAGTATGTAGTGTCTCTACTTTAAAGAGTCCTCTCCTGCTGATGTTCAGGTGTATATCAGTATGTAGTGTCTCTACTTTAAAGAGTCCTCTCCTGCTGATGTCCAGGTGTATATCAATGTAATACAACTTTGATGTTAGCAGATAATGAGGATCACTCACCTGTGGACCTGAAGCACCGGGGTTGCCCTCAGTTCCTCGAACCCCAGGCCCTCCAGGTGAACCCTGCACCAAAAACACACACACACACACACACACACACACACACACACACACACACACACACACACACACACACACACACACACACACACACACACACACACACAGTTCAAACTCACGTATTTGGCTGCATGTAGCTGTATATCGTTATCTCGCTCTCCTACCTTCTCCCCCACATAGCCTCTTCTCCCATCGGCACCCTGCCACATAGAGAACAGCTCATCAGCACATTGAAATCTTTATTTTTCTAAAGATGAATTTGACTGATACATTTTTTTTATATTTTCAGATGTTCTAAAACAATTAACTCTTTAAAAAAATATAGATGTATTAAAGTCAGAAATCCCACCTTGAATCCAACGTCTCCTGCACCGCCTGGTTCTGCGTCCACTCCGGATAAACCCTGGAGATTAAACCATATTCAATGATAATCAAAAGACTACAACTCCCATGATCCCACGCTGCATCACCACACCAAACTCCAGCTTTTACTGCTGTTATCTTTCAGAGACCTGTAGTGGCAGAAAATGAATGAGTGTGTGATGTTTTTACCGGGGGTCCGGGGTTCCCAGGGTTTCCTTTGGCTCCAGGGCTGGTGTTATCAACGCCGGGCTCCGCCTGTTAAAAAAACCCACAAAAACTCATTATTAAATAAAGGTTTTAAACCCTAACTCTGAGGATTAACTCTGCATTGTTTTCTTCAGTGGAGCCTCCAGCTGTGCTCCATCTTCATTGATATAAAAGGGGCCTATTGTGCTTTTTGGGGTTTTCCAGTCCATATATATTATACAGACTATTGTATACAATCTAATCTATATATACACATTAGTCACATATTTATTATTGCAGTACATTAGCTACAATTCTTCCATTTATTTAATTTGTATTTTATATTTAATTTCACCTTTTTGTAAAATGGAGCAACTGTAAAGCAACTCAATTTCCCCTCTGGGCATTTTCGAAATATTTATTGTTGTATATATTATAGTATAATGTCCTCATTTGTATTTTTAAATCTAATATTTAATATTTTAATAATTATATTCATTGTATTTATTTAATAAACACTGTAGTTTATTATTGTATACATTGTAGTACAATTTTCCCATTTGTATTTAAATATATCTATATTAATATATTTATTTATACTTTATTGTTTTATATATAATACAATTCTTTTTTAAATTTAATTTAGTTAACTCATTTTATATACTGATGTTTACATATTTAATAGTTGTAATTTAAAATGGAGCAACAAAAAAAAAAGTTTGCTGACCGGATCTCCTCTCAGTCCTCGCTGTCCTGCCACCCCCGCCTCACCTCTGATGCCCGGGATACCCTGAGAGAGAAAGAAGTTAAAAGTGGAAATAATTCATAATAATTATATAACAAAAATGATCATACATCAATTATAATATTCAATACGATTTACACAACAAAAAACTATATATCAGGGTTTTGTCTGCACCGGGTAACAGGGGCGCTGCACCCTCAAACCAAAATGCAGCTTTTCCCCGTAAAATGTTAAAGTGATGCCAGAAAACAATATTTCTGTTCGTCAAAAACTGTATAATGACTCCAGAAATCTGAGAATCAATCAGAGCGTCAGACGGCAGAGACAGCTTTGTTTTTACGGAGCTCCGACGTCACGTTGTTGTTTACGTCAGGAGACATCTTGTATACGGAGTCATGATCTTGAGAGAATTTATATATAATATACAAGATCAGCGGCACAGTACTCATACTATATATTTCTAGAAAAACCCCTGATATCATATATCATATATATATATATATAAATATATTACTGGGTTTCCTGAGTCTCCTCTTTCTCCTTGAGCTCCATCAGATCCTGCCAGTCCCTGCAGACACAGAACCACAAACACACATTATAATAATAATAATAATAATAATAATAATAATAATAATAATAATAATAATAATAATAATAATAATAATAATAATAATAATAATAATAATAATAATAATAATAATAACCTGACAAAAATTAACCAAATAAACAAAAGTATATTATTATATTTCTTTTCAATAATAATAATAATGCATATTTTATTATTAGGTTTATGGGTACCACTTTACAATAAGACTACCCTTATAAAGGGTTTACAAATAGTTTGTAATTCATGTATTAATTAGGTTGTGAACACTTTATAAATCCTTAATAAGCTTTTATAAGACATGAGATAAACAGGGCAACTGTGACTGCTTGCCAAATAGTGAGCCCACATTTATCTGTACTGCTAAGCCTTATTAGAAATGGTAGTAACTCATTAATAAATGGTGAATTGTTTCACACTTTACAAGGCTCCCTTTTGGCAGTTATACATGTTAGTAACTCATTAATAGATGGTCATAAAGAGATGCCAAGAAACATCAAGATAGAAGAGGGGATCAACTCAGTGAACAACAGATACCAAGGATGCTGGCTGATGAAGAAGACAAAGTAAGCTAGGTAGCCAACATAAGGCTTAGTCATCTTGCCAAATAGTGAGCCTGTGTTGATGTATGAAAACTATGTTAGAACTGGTTTATAAATGGTTCTTAATGATTAATAAAGTGTTTACAACCTAATTAATAACCTAATTATAAACCCTTTATGAATGCTTTATAAGGGTAGTGTTATTGTAAAGTGGTACCGGTTTGGGTGATGACTTTATTTACAGTGACTCTTGTTTTTTTGCTGACGCTGTACCTGTTCTCCATAGACTCCGTCCAGTCCGACGTCTCCGTCTCCGCCCTGTTGGATCAGAACCAGCGTCTCAGCGCTCTCCTCTTTATGAACTACCAGAACTCAAATATTTATGTTTGTCCTAACACTTTTAGAAAATGCAGTTTTAAGTCTTCTTTAATCTCCTCTAAAAGTTTTGCTCCAGACACTCACGTGGTTCCCGGAGACGCCTCGGTAGCCCTGCAGACACAAACACAACGCACACATCCTTTTCATTTCTGTATCCTGGGAAACACTCATCTGACAGGCTCTGTCCATGTGTGAAATGTGTGTAGTAACAGTGTGGTTACAGTGAAACATGGGTTTAATGAGGGGTCTAATAGTGGTGTAATAATGGTTTAACATGGCTGTGATAGGGGTGTATTATTGGGTAAATGTGGGTATAGTAACAGTGTCATATGGGTGTAATATAGGTCTAGTAACAGTGTGATATTGGTGTAAAAATACTGTTATGTGTGTGTAATAATACTGTAACAGGTGTGTAATAGGGTGTAATACAGGTGTATTAGGGGGTGTACTAAGGTGTAAAATGGGTGTAATAACAGTGTAATATGGATGTAATATAGGTGTAAAAAGGGTATAACAAGGGTATAACAAGGGTGTAGTAACAGTGTAATATGGGTGTAATAATGGTGTAATAACAGTGTAGTACCGGTATTATCGGTGTAAAAATACTATTATATATTTGTAATAGAGGTGTAACATGGGTGTACTGTAATAATACTGTAACAGGTGTGTAACACAGGTGTATTAAGGTGTAACATGGGTGTAATATAGGTGTACTAATGGTGTAATGCGGGTGCAACATGGGTGTAATATAGGTGTACTAATGGTGTAATGCGGGTGCAACATGGGTGTAATATAGGTGTACTAATGGTGTAATGCGGGTGTAATGCGGGTGTAACATGGGTGTAATATAGGTGTACTAATGGTGTAATGCGGGTGCAACATGGGTGTAATATAGGTGTACTAATGGTGTAATGCGGGTGTAATGCGGGTGTAACATGGGTGTAATATAGGTGTACTAATGGTGTAATGCGGGTGCAACATGGGTGTAATATAGGTGTACTAATGGTGTAATGCGGGTGCAACATGGGTGTAATATAGGTGTACTAATGGTGTAATGCGGGTGTAATGCGGGTGTAACATGGGTGTAATATAGGTGTACTAATGGTGTAATGCGGTGCAACATGGTGTAATATAGGTGTACTAATGGTGTAATGCGGGTGCAACATGGGTTGTAATATAGGTGTACTAATGGTGTAATGCGGGTGCAACATGGGTGTAATATAGGTGTACTAATGGTGTAGATGCGGGTGTAACATGGGTGTAATATAGGTGTACTAATGGTGTAATGCGGTGCAACATGGGTGTAGATATAGGTTGTATCTAATGGTGTAATGCGGGTGTAGACATGGGTGGTAATATAGGTGTACTAATGGGTGTAACATGGGTGTAATATAGGTGTACTAATGGGTGTAACATGGGTGTAATATAGGTGTACTAATGGGTGTAATGCGGGTGTAACATGGGGTGTAATATAGGTGTACTAATGGGTGTAACATGGGTGTAATATAGGTGTACTAATGGTGTAATGCGGGTGTAACATGGGTGTAATATAGGTGTACTAATGGGTGTAACATGGGTGTAAATATAGGTGTACTAATGGGTGTAACATGGGTGTAATATAGGTGTACTAATGGTGTAATGCGGGTGCAACATGGGTGTAATATAGGTGTACTAATGGGTGTAACATGGGTGTAATATAAGTGTACTAATGGGTGTAACATGGGTGTAATATAGGTGTACTAATGGTGTAATGCGGGTGCAACATGGGTGTAATATAGGTGTACTAATGGTGTAATGCAGGTGTAACATGGGTGTAATATAGGTGTACTAATGGTGTAATGCGGGTGCAACATGGGTGTAATATAGGTGTACTAATGGTGTAATGCGGGTGCAACATGGGTGTAATATAGGTGTACTAATGGTGTAATGCGGGTGTAACATGGGTGTAATATAGGTGTGCTAATGGGTGTAACATGGGTGTAATATAGGTGTACTAATGGGTGTAACATGGGTGTAATATAGGTGTACTAATGGTGTAATGCGGGTGTAACATGGGTGTAATATAGGTGTACTAATGGGTGTAACATGGGTGTAATATAGGTGTACTAATGGTGTAATGCGGGTGTAACATGGGTGTAATATAGGTGTACTAATGGGTGTAACATGGGTGTAATATAGGTGTACTAATGGGTGTAACATGGGTGTAATATAGGTGTACTAATGGTGTAATGCGGGTGCAACATGGGTGTAATATAGGTGTACTAATGGGTGTAACATGGGTGTAATATAGGTGTACTAATGGTGTAATGCGGGTGCAACATGGGTGTAATATAGGTGTACTAATGGTGTAATGCAGGTGTAACATGGGTGTAATATAGGTGTACTAATGGTGTAATGCGGGTGTAACATGGGTGTAATATAGGTGTACTAATGGGTGTAACATGGGTGTAATATAGGTGTACTAATGGGTGTAACATGGGTGTAATATAGGTGTACTAATGGTGTAATGCGGGTGTAACATGGGTGTAATATAGGTGTACTAATGGTGTAATGCGGGTGTAACATGGGTGTAATATAGGTGTAATATAGGTGTACTAATGGTGTAATGCGGGTGTAACATGGGTGTAATAATACTGTAACATGTGTGAAATACAGGTGAAATAGGGGTGTACTAATGTGTCATCTGGGTGTATTAACCTAAAAAGATATTAATGAAATAAACATATACAAAAATAATAAAAGATAAAATAAATTAAAATATGATTAAAAATTGACAAAATAAAAGATGAAATAAAATACAAGGCAACATTTATATAATATTCATACCTTCTGTCCTCTGACTCCAGGACAGACCTGGAGGCCCTGAGGTCCGCTGGGTCCAGGAGGCCCGCCCCCCCCCTGAAACATCCCGAGAAAAGGATCCATTAAGGCCCAGACACACCAGGCTGAAATCGTCCGTCTTCGGTTGTCTGGCGACGAAGCGCGCCCTGTCGCCCAAAGTCAATTTGGTGTGTCCCGAACCCTCGGCCGTGACACGCCTTATTTGGTCTTTCACGGTCGACACACGGCCGATTCAACATGTTGAATCGGCCGGGTGTCGGACACAAGCTATCGGGCCAAGAAACCACTCTGATCAGCTGTTCAGCTAGCAAATGAGAAGCGAAACGGAAGTGAGGGACGTAAACAAACGATGTAAGAAGGCACAGGACAGCAGCTAAACCCCAGCAGGTGATACTTAAAGACATCAAACATAGCCCTTAAATGTCCTCTCTTACCTCCCACACATAGCAGGGACATCTCTGATATCGGCGGGAGCGTCCCCGGCTGTCCTCTGCTGAGAGCTCCGTGATTTGTTTGGTCAAGTCCGGTTTTTCATCTCATGGGTTTATTTGTCAGTATAAAGTTGCAGGATTAGTCTCAAGTACCTCAACATTGTCCTTAAGTACAGTGTCTAAGTAAATGAGATACTGTCTACTGCTGTTCATTTACCTATTGTGAGTCGCCTCGGATAAAAGCATCACATGGAAATGTACATTTAGCAAGAAGTGGCCATTATTACATTACATACATTACTACATTGCTGACTCAATAAACGACACACCCGCCAGAACACTGCGATCATCAGATGCAGGTTTATTAACTGTGATTTGATAGCATGTCTGCACTTTATGTGCTCATTTCATCATTCATGTATTTTTATATTCTAAAACATGTTTTCGATGGACGAGAGTGAAAATGGAACGCACACGCTATTTGTTTGTTTATATCAGTCTGTTCTTCTTCTCTTTCTTCCGGTTGTTGCCTATTTTGAATGACGAATACACACTACCGCCGCCTGCTGGTAAGGAGAGTTATTGCCACTCACGCATGCGCAGTTCGTACGTGCTTGGCTGAAGTCTTTGCGGTGTGTTCCAGTGCGACACATGGCCAAGACGCAGGAGAACTCGCCGACGCAACTGTCGGCGAGTTCTCTGGTGACTGCCTGGTGTGTCAGGGCCTTTACTCTGCAGAAAACACTGTGTCACATCGTAAACCTCAAACACATTTAAAATCCTTCCTGTGTATTATAGCAATGTTTCAGGATCAGCAACAGCCTATAAACCCTCCATGAAAATCAAAAACCAAAACCCCCCGTCTTGTTAGTTTCTTCACAAGAGGAGTCAAGTGTGTGAGGATGGAATGAATAGACAATAAAATAAAGCACTTACGGAGTGGCCTTCCTCCCCCGGGAATCCCGGATGACCCCTCAGCCCCGGCTCGCCCTGTTTATAACAACATAGAGAGGCATTTAGAATAAAATATAAAACAGAATAGATCAACGCATCTGGATAAATAAATACAAATCTTCCCCTAGAAGTGATGGTGAAAATGACCTTGGAAATTTACTTTGAAGTGAATTAAATTAGATTAACCACAATCATATCCCTCTCTTATCCTTAATTTAAGTTAGGTGTATTATTAGTAATATGTTATATTTCAATTGATGTAGAAAAAAAAAGTTAATTACAAACCTAATAATGATACCTGTGTGCATTTGTTTGATGCACACATTTAAATAGTATTTGGAATATACCATATATATTGTTGTTACACTGTAAATTGAGCATCTTAATGAAAAAAGAGATTTTTAAGTTTAAAGGTGTGTGTGTTTCAGTCACCTTTGACCCCAGGGTGCCGCGAGAACCACGGATGCCTTCGTATCCCAAACATTTGCACATGACGTTGCAGCACTTCCTGTCCGACAACGTGTCCTGCAGAGACACAGAGGAGGAAACAGTGAGAAGAACATTTCATTTAAAGACCCTCATCAAACCAAAATTACCCCCTCGCATTCGTGTGACTCCAGCCACCGGTTAAGTTGAAGTTTAACTCCATGTCCAAGTTGTTATCACCTTATCATTTAAACATTACTGTCATACTTAGTGCATGAATTCCTGATTCAAAATTAGTTTAGCACCTTTGAACATTGACCACTAAATTCTAATGAGTTCATCCTTGAATCCAAGTGGATGTTGAAGAAATTTGAAGAGATTTCCTCCAGGCGTTCTCAGAATTTACGAAAATGGGACAGAAAACCTAAAAGATATAATGCATGCATAAAAATAAACCTTCAAGTATGTTCTCTGTATTTCTTTGTTTGTTTTTTTCCAAAATAGTTGTTGATCTCAATAAGATAACCTGATTTTAACAGAAAGTTATATTTTATTTTATGTATATATTGGATATATATATAAAGGAGGTTTACTACTTAAGTAGTTACTACATGACTTTTAAAGTACAAATATATGAGTAAATGTACTTTCCACCACTGCAATATGTCAAATTACATTAGGAGAACCCCAAGGCTACATCCTAGGTCATCTTCTCTTTCATAAATGCTTACGTCCCGTGGTGTGGTGTTACGTTATCTTTTGTTACTTCCCTTCTCCCCTAGATTATTAGGGAACGTAACCTATACACATTTGAATCTACACATGGCAACGTCCTCAATGAAGTGTCCGAATTGAGAAGGAACTTTTGAGTAACACCTGTAGAATTGTTGGAAAGTGATCAGGGAGGAAATGATGGCAGACGCTTCACCCTAACTTCCAGTGTGGCTTCAGAAAGCAACATTTTTACTTTACAATTCTTCGGGACGTAGCTCCTGTAAGCAGACCGAGGGTCGGAAGATGGTTTTACTGTTAGCAGCACAATGAGGGACTCACGATCTGTTTGAGGATGGTGCTGCCCACGCTCGGCATGCCGATGCTCAGAGGGAGTTTGTGCTCGAACCCTCTTCCGAACTCCACCATCTGCAGCTGGGCGGGGTCGCGGGTCCCCTCCAGGGCCACGGTGAACAGAGCGCTGACCCCTGCAGGCAAAAAACAAAACCACAGTTGGTAAGTTTAGTGGGTTTAGGAAATACCACAGACCCGAGAGCGCAAGATATCGAAGCAAACAAGATACGGGCTTCGCTTATTACCTACTTTCTTCCCGGTGTTTTCTACAGGTGGGTGTGGTAGTTTGAAATTACAGGTGTTAAATTGCGATGAACTACATAATTCAAGGGATCCCATTGAGATACTAATCGGAGGCACATACATTTTTCCTTTTTCCTGTATTTAGTAAACCCCAAACCTGTTTGTTTTTCCAAGGAGCAAGTTCAACTTTTTCATGTTTATGGGTCACAATTTCGAAATACGTTTTTTTCATTTTATTTCATTTTATTTCATGAATGAATTACTTTATAATACAATAGAATCAAAGACAATTTAAATCAACCGTTCACCAAAACCAAGACTCGTTAAATTAACAGCCTCTTTTAGCGAGTAAAGGTGAGAGGGCCAGAAAGACGAAAGAACAAAGAAGGATGAAGAAAAAGCTGAATAAAATACAGAAAAACTAAAGAGCAAAGGTGAAAAATCAAGTGTCGGCAGAGTTTTAGGACGACTCAAATAACCACATTATAAAGAGGAGAATTAAACACGTACCAGACTGACGCAGCAGCTCTGCTTCATGCTCCAGTTTCATCACGTCTTCATCGAGTCCGTCTGAGAAGATCACCAGCACCTGATTGACGAGGTTTGATGTTAATAAAATATTTAATGTGAGCGCACTTTAAGAACCACCTCATCCTGTTAGGTCTGCAAATTAATATAATCATACTATACTACAAAAACCTTAACATTTGACTTCTTTTTACCTCCTTTCACTTCTTATTAAGCACCATCATTAGGTCAAAAACTTCACTAATAAGTGTATTGCTAATGACGTTCGCCTCAGCCACAGCTTCACTTTGTATTAACTGCAAATTAGCACATCTTTGGCAGCATAGCTAAAGACTGAACATTTCATTATAAACTAAAAGGCACGCAGACATCTGCCAAAGCCAAATGCATGATTTTAAATGTTAGCAAAAGTAAAAATATCGTTTGTATTCGCATTTGTATCCAATTCAAATTAAATGGGTTCTGTCCCGTTTTATACACCATTCCTCAGTTTCATATAAAAGAGTGGACCCTGTAGTTTCCCTGTACACCAGTTCCTAAACCAACAAACTGAAGATATCTCTCTTGGTGGAGGCAATGCATGAAAACAAAAAAATAGAGATTTCCCAGGGTTGCCAGGTGTCTCTCACCTTCACATCAGCTTTGGACTTGTCCAAGAACCTCTGCTTGAAGGAGTTCAGCATGGCCGTCTTGAAGTAAGTAGGCCCTGACATTTGCACTTCCATGACTTTGTCCACCACTTCCTTGCTGTAGGCTTCAAAGTCTGTGTCGTACAAGGAACGCCCGTCACTATCCAGCACTTGGAAAGCAATCTTGGGCTGTATAGGATCTGGACCGACGCAGCAAAGGGTTTTCACCGAAGACACGGAACTGGCGATTTCCGGCAGGAAACCTCAGGAGCATGGGTGTGACCGCTGACCAGCTTCTCCCCTGCTGTTCTCTGAGAAATATCGAATCCCATGGCGATATCGATGCTGCAGTCTGTAGCAAAGGGAAACATGTATTTACCTTTAGGCAATCATAAACACAGAGGAATACAGTGGGATACATAAGCTGTGTTTACATTCACATATTCTTAAGTGAATTTGTAGGTATTGCATTATGAAGAATGTCTGAAAGCAGCAATATTTGACAAAAAACTTCCCCAATCATGGCAAACATTTTTACGCTAACAGTTTTTTGATGATATGGATATTCCCATAACACTGACTGCATGTCTTAGTGTCCAGACAGCATGAAACATGGCAACCGCAGAAGTGATACAATGCTATCTCATTTCATGGTTTTAGGACATATACCTACAACCACTTTATACTAGCTGAAATAAAAGAGCAATTTTGTCATATCATATACACAACTACGATGTACTTCTGCAATGCATGGAAAACATAGGTTGCAGGATCCTCAACAGTGCAATTACAAGACATACAACAATACATATAATAAAAAAACTAAATAATAAAAAAATAATGCAATAATAAATTAAGAATAAAATAAATCGTGCAAGATCAGGTGTTAGATAGTCTTATGTGGATATGGCCAAGACAACCTCTTTTGTTTCCAGTACACAAACTCTACCTCTACTATTGTGTTAACTACTAGATTACAGTAATACGTAGCCTTACTGTGACAAAACTAAGCCCATTGTATTCTCTCTAAACCAGTTGATAGAACAGCACCTCATTCTTTTTGCAACATTTGAATGGAAACACAGCTATTGAGATGCAAGGAGACACTTTTCAACTTACCTGCTTTGGGGGCGAGGGGGTGTGGGAGGGGGGCGGTGGTGAAGGTGTGGGTGGGGTTGGGGTTGGATCTGGACCTGGACCTGGATCATCACATAAGATGTCGACCAAGTCTTGCTTGATCTTTGCCAATCCCGTTAAAGTTCTGCACATTCAACAGCCTCTCCGGGGTGCCAGTGATCTGCAAGAGCTCCAGGTCATGAACGTCGCCAACGGCCGATGGCAAACACCGAAATGTTATGTATCCTGAGATAGTCAGCTGCATCCTCCACGTCATCATGCGAGTCGCCATCTGAGATCAACACCAGATTCTTCGGGACCCCACGACTGTCGTCAAAGTATTTGCTTATGTTGATCCAAGGCTTTTCCGAGGAATGTGTTTCCACCAGTGTATTTCAAGTTTTGGATGTGCCCGATCAAATCCTCCTTCTTGAAGTACCTGTTGAGGTCAAACTCGTCCTGAGGCTCATCGCTGAACTGTGCGAGTCCAATACGCACCCAGTTTTCACTGATGATAAAGCTGTTCACTAGGCTTACCGTGAAGTTTTTTATCATGTCGTGCTCTTCTAAATTAATGCTGCTTGACCGATCGAGTAGGAAGATCAGGTCGGCCTTCTTTCCCTTACATCCTGACAGAGCAAAGCAAGAGGAAGACATAAGTCAACATGGCGGACATGGAAATATAAATAGACGAAAATAAAATGTAATTTACAAAAGTACAAAGAAATTCACTGTAAAGCATAATTTGTTTGGCCACACCAAACTCTTCACTCCCTTTTTTACGGTTTTGAAGTCTGATAGATAAGGAATTGATGCAGCTTTTCTGTCAATCTGAAAGATCAATAGCAGTTTCTCAGGCTTGGTCAAATCAAATAAACCACATTGGGAAAACAACTAGGTATGCTTTGCTTTTACTGCCTTTGTGATTCTTACTCCTTGAAGCAGAAATGTTTTGAGCATCGAGAGAAACAAAATGTGTAGGATATCTACTTCCACATTGTGATCTTCAAAGTCATTTTCCGTCTTTCCTTGCTTTGCCCAAACCCTAAAGAGCTAGATTAGGTAAGCAATCAAGACCAACACTTTTTTGTCCAATATTTGTTGTAGAAGTGCATTAAGGGACCAAACATAAATACTGGTAAACTATACATTCAAATGTTTATGAACCATCATTCCAAAAGGGCTTTATGTTTATTTGAGTTTTTTTAAAACATTTTGAATATTTTAAACCCATTACACGATTATTGTAGTTCTGTGAAGATCTACAATCACGCTGAAGGACGTGCAGTAAGGAATAATGCTACAAGAAAGTTGAAGGGGCAAATAACTATGGAATTGATTGAACACAATTCGAATATTGAGCACTTGAATTATTAATTTAGATTCCTGATCTCTAAAAACAATTCGTATCATACAGTATGTGTTTTTGTGAGTTTGCTGTATTAAATTATTTCATGAGTTTAGTGGATCTTTTTGGCACAAACTTTAAATCTCATGAACTTCTGTACCACAGATGTGCCCTGACTTGTGCTCACCTTGTTTTGTGGCATTGCAAAGGACAGAAGACATATCGTTGTGCAGAGTTTCTAGGGCCTCAAAATTGTCCACAAAGAAACTGCTGCCGTTGTTGCCAGCAATGGTCAACAGCTGATTTCGATCTGCTTCTTTCACTCCGACACTGATGACGGTGACCCCGTGTTCTCGCAGTTTATCAGCCGGACCCTTTAGGTTTGAAGGTATGTTCGCAGCTCCGTCTGTGATCACTATGAGAATCTGAGGCACCTCCCGGCCTCCATGTTCGGCATTAAAGTACTCTAGAGAGTAGCTCAAGGCTTTGTCTGTGTAGGTGCCTCCTCCTTCTGGCTTCACAGTTGGTATCGCTGCAAGAACATTACGTTTGGAGTCGTAGGCGTTCAGTTTAAAATGAGTCCGGGGTTCATCTGAGTAGGAAATAAGCCCGAAACGAGTCAGGCTGGTGCCAACTTTGGTTTGGTTCACTATTGATGCCATAAACTTCCGCATGCTTTCATACTGTATTTGAGATATTCTGGAGCTGTCCACCAGGAAAATAATGTCGGCTGTTTCCATTTTACATTCTGGTTTAAAAGAAAAAAGAGGAAAAAGGAGAAGTTAGCAGAGAAATTGGTTGGGAATTATTATGTTCTCATAAAAAATCAATGCCTTACAATTACAACTGATTCAGAGAAAAGATGGTTACATAAAATAAGCTTCACCTCAATATTTTCAGTACACATATGTCCATGACTTTTTTTCCCCATTTTATTCAAATCTAATTAATTTCAGTAGACAAGACAAAATACTTAGGAGTAGACTGAATATAAGGATTGAGAAATATAAACTTCCAATGGTGGAATGTCACAGTAAGTACATACTCAAGTGTTGTACTATAGTTATATTTAACTACTTTGTATTTGTTGTACTTTAATATATGTATAGAAGGTTTATAGTTATAGAATGATATGATGGGGTACTGTACTAATTATGTACCCAGTATATCAAATTGGTTCCACATTGACAACCACAACGTTAACATGATATGACCATGTGTTGAAGATAAAAACTGAATATTAGTATTTTATAATACTGTGAAAAGAGACAATTTGCATACTGATAACGTTAGATATTTGAAGTACATTTACCTCAAACATTTGGTACTTCTAATTAAGCAACATTCTCAATTCAGATATTTTACTAGTAAGTTAGTATTTTTAGACCATTGTACTTGTATCTTTATTTAAGTAAAGGTTTCTGAGCACTTCTTCCACCATTGCTCTACTCCTAGTTGCTTTTGTTGGTTTGCTCTTGACCTGCTCTTACCTCTCTCGCAAATCTTTGAGGAAACCTGGGCTTCCAAGTCCTTCAGCGCATCAAAGTCCTTCTCAGAATAAACCCTGTCAGAATGACCGCTGATCTCCATCAGCTGGGTGCGGTTGTGATTCTTCACTCCGATGGAGTAGATCACCACTCCCTTTTTCCTCAGAGCCTCAGCGGGACCCCTGACCTCATCTTGTGCCTTGCCGTCTGTAATCACTATCAGATTCTGCCTCATGCCAGGACGCCCTCCTCTGGCCACTTCGAAATACCTTGAAACCTCTGTGATGGCCTTTCCTGTGCTCGTACCTGCATTCATCTGCTTCATATCATCAATGGCTTTCGAAATGTTAACTTTGCTGTAGTATTGGTTGAGGGGAATCTCCAGATTGTAGCTGGTACTGAACTGCATGACACCGACGTGCACCTTGTTCTCCCCGATGGCCGACTTGCTGATGACAGATTTCATGAAGTGTTTCATTTTCTGAAACTCAACCTCTTCGATGCTCTCGGAGCTGTCAGTGAGGAAAAGATGTCGCCCTGTATGTCTCTGCAGGCTGTCGACACAGAACACAGAAATGTTAATGAGGAGTTCCTTTTTTTGCCCTTCTCTTACTTTCATTGGTTATCATTTAGAAGGTATTTGTTAACTTAGGTTCAGGAGCTGGGCAATGCCTCAATATGCAGCCAACACATCCGGCCACTGTTGTTTCCATTCTTTCAACCCACCCGCCCTCTCCCTTCCACTCATACATTCCCCTTTCTACCTCATCATTAGCCAAACCCATTCATCCCTTCACCCTTCGAACCATTCATCTTTTTATCCCCACACCCACCAATCGCTTCATCCCTACCTTCCCTCATCTCTAAATCCACCAATCGCTTCATCCCTACCTTCCCTCATCTCTAAATCCACCAATCGCTTCATCCCTACCTTCCCTCATCTCTAAATCCACCAATCGCTTCATCCCTACCTTCCCTTTATCCCTACATCCAGGCAAATAATAATCATAATATAACCCTAAAAACCCTTTAAAAAAAAGCGTCAGTCGTCAATCTTCCTACCACCTATCACTATTATGATCGGTTATTAATGATATCTATAAACGTAACTTTTACAATTCTTTTTAGCTGCCATCTCTGAAGTATGAAAAGCGTCTACACTGTTCGGTCCTCTCTGTCTGGCCTCTTCTGTTAAACATTTAACATGCAGTTAACTAAGTTTATGTTTCAAGGCTGGGTACGATATGTGAAAAAGTCCTTGTCTCACTTCTGCTCTCCATTTGTAAAAATGATTTTTTTTCTTACCGTCTTCAGAACAGATTTCTCTGATGATGTCATTGTTGATGGATTTCAAGGTATCAAAATTTCTGACGGAGATAGTCCTCTTGGGGTCTCCTGCAATCTCTTCTAGCTGAGTTTGGGATGAATCTTTCACCCCAATGGCGTAGATAATGATTCCCTGGTCCCTCAGTTCTTTTGCAGGAGCCTCCACCTCATCAGTGGACTTTCCATCTGTGAGGACAATCAGGTACTTTGGGGCTTCATGATCACGCGTGTCCGCCGCTCTCTTAAAGAGTCTGCCCAAGTGTGAAAGTGCTTTTCCTGTCTCCGTCCCACCTCCTGCGTGATGTATACTGTTGATGGCCTTCACCAATGACTTTGTATCGGAGTGGTTTGTCAGATCAAATTCATCAGTTGGGGAATCAGCATATTTCACAAGCCCAATGCGGACTTGTTGTGGTCCAATTTGGAAGTGTTCTATAAACTTGTTGAGGAAGTTCTGCATGTCTTTGAAGTCTTGCCATGTAATGCTTCCTGAGTCATCCATAAGGAAGAAGATGTCTGCTTCATCCGTTTTTACACAAACTAAATTGGAAAACAATAATAAGACATTATTATTTTCACATATTCAACAAGAGGAAGGTTAAAATTGAACATTCATTTGGAAATATTTGAGTTAGATTAAATACAAAAAGATGGCTCTTCAAGGGGAAAGTACCATTTTAAATCCCCATAGCACAAACAAACCAAATAGATCTAGGAGATGTCTGTCTTTCACTGTTCATTGAGGGTCAAGTCAAAATGTATTATTGATCCACAAATCCTTTAACTTTGTCTTTACATGTATTTAATTCGCTCTACAACATGAATACAAATTTAGTTTTTAAAGTTGACTTTTTGTGTTTATGGTATTTCCTGTAAGACCAGAAATTGTAAAACTACAGATTGTTTTACCTAAGTAAAAGTAGTTATACCACAGTGTAGAAATACCATCATCAACATATACTCAAATGCAATATTATGAAAATACTTGAGTAAAGTCCAGTGCATAGCTTAAGTTACTTATTTACTTTCCACCAGTCCCAAAGACAACTCCAACAAACAAACAAAAAAACTGTTTCAAAACCTTCTTTGGTTTCTGTTTTCCTTGGGACTGCTTTGGCAATGATGTTTTTGCACAGGATTTTCTGCAGGGTCTGCTTCAGGTGCGTCAGCTCGGTGAAACTTTCCCGGGTAAAAAACGTGCTGATCAGGAGGGTGTGAAGCCATTTCCAACAGTTCGCTCTCGATGGCATCTTTTATTCCTACAGCGTAAATGGTAACACCGGCTCGACGCAGAGTAATTGCTGCTTCGCTCACTTCATCCTGGGATTCACCATCAGTGATGACCACCGCCACCTGTTGGACACCGTTTTCTTTCCTGCAGCCCTTCTCTTTAACAAAGACGTTTTCCCGAGTAAAATTCAGGGCCTCTCCAGTCTTCGTACCACCTCCATTGTAAGGCAGGATCTTAATGTACTCAAGCAATTCGGTCCGTGTCGTTGAATGAGTTGAGGAAGACCTGTGGTGTGGAGACATCGTTGTACGTGACAATGCCCACTCTGACTCTATTCGGACTTACATCCAAGCTGCTCACGATCAAGTGCAGGAATTTGCGCATGAGCCGAAAGTTTTCATTTCCAATGCTTCCCGACTCGTCAACGATGAACACGATGTCTGCCACCTTTGCTCCTTTGCAATCTGTGAAAGGAGGGGTAATTTGAGTCATCTGCTACAAAGGGACTTTATTACAGGTATACTTGTAACCAGCGACGTAGCAGAGGCCTCACCTGTCATTCTCCAATGTAACGAACAAATACAAAATAATAAATAATAATAATAATAATAAAATGTCTCCACTGATCTGTGTTGTAAATGTGATTTATGTATGATTCCAATCGCTTTTTATTGTCAAAATCTGTAAATTTGCCGAGCTCCGCTACAACTACATGGGAGCGATGAGAAGTGAGGCAGGGACACGTAACACCACATAAACTGGCTGGAGCGCGGGCACTAATTTAGTGCGAGCACTTATTTTGTGCCCGCGCTCCAGCCAGTTTCTGTGGGGTAAGGTGAGGCAGAGATGAGATCTGCCTCACCTCAGATGCGTCACCCCACAGAAACTGGCTGGAAAGCGGGCACTAAGCGCATGCCTGTTCCCATCTCACTGTAGGTCACCAATGTAATGTTTGTAGATCCCTTTATTACATTTATCCTCGCCATCCATAGTCTCTAAATAACTTATTTCACGTATATATGATATTTAGGCTCGCTGGGTCTCATCATACGACGGCAATGAGAAAGCACAGGAGAGGCAGCCATAACCTCTGCCGCACTGAAGGGGGCGCACGTGAGCCCACAGGTTCTTGTTGCTACTGTTATTCTACACAGAGACAGTAGACGCAAACAACAAACTAGACTTTTGAAACTAGAGGAAGATAAGGAGGACTTTTACAAAAAAGTAATAGAGATTGTTGTCCAGAAGGACAGCATGGACTTCATCTTCAAGTCAAGGTAAGACCACAATTGTATTCAAAATGGGATTTTACTAAGAGAGAACAATCCAATATTTAAATGAAACTACATTTTTTGGGTATCCTTTTGTTGAACAGTCTGTTTAAAATGAATCGAAACATCAGACAAAAAAAGCTTTTGAAAATAACAGAATAATGCTAGTTTTCTGTAGCTGTCCACTTCTAGATGCTAACTGAAAAACGTGAAAAACTGCTAGTAGGATGGTTGGGATTCTCACCTTCAGTAATGTTCTCCTTTTTCTCAGTCAAGATGACATCCTTCAAAATTAACACGTTTGAAGTATTATATGCATAGTCAGTACTGGCAAATGATTCGATTGATTCCATACTTGCACCTGCACTCATTCCTATAAGAGTTACCCCCGATGATTTGATCAATTCAGCGTCCCTATACACGGAGCGTTTGGAGTCTTTTGCACTCATAACAACCAGATACTGTCGGGAGCCTTGATGCGCACGGCCCCCAGCCTCACTGGTAAAAAGGTGAGTGTTGGCGTTGATCAGGGCACCGCCCAGGTCAGCTGGTTTGTTGGTTTTTGGGCGCAGGCGGAAACGCTTGACAGTTTCGATGGTTTTCTGTTTGTTTTTAAATTTCTCAAGGGAGAATTCGACCTTGGTATCTTCACCGTACTGGGCCAAACCAATACGGTAGGTGGACGCTGAGGCATTGAGACGATTCGATCAATTCAACCAAGTTAGATATGACCCCCGGGACCATTCCTGGAGCCATGCTTACCGTCCAGCATGAAAAAGATATCTGCAAACCTGTCTGTCAATGCTGGAAAAAGAGACAACATTATTACTTTTTCTTACATTACAGTCAAGATGTCAGTATACTCCAAAGTGTATGGCTAGTTTATCCAATAACTCAACCTTAAAGATCATTCATCTCGTAGGATATGCACTAACATTTTGTATTTTCAGGTATTTTCACATTAAGCTAACTTTGAATCTTTCCAAGCTCTCATTTTGTACCCATATACAAGCAGGTACAGCACCATGAATTCCCATTACCCCCTTTGCACAATTCATCATGTCTAGCCACGCTCTTTGATGGCTGCCATTGAATGACCTATTGGGAATAGGTATACTTTCAAAACTTGTTACCAAAAAGGACTGCATGATTGTAACAGCAGGAAACTTATTAAAAACAGTATGATGATCAATTTCTTGTTTTTTCAAACAAACCCAGTATGATCTCATCTTCAAATACCAAAACCTAATTTGGACTATTATATGATGTTTTCTTCAATCCTTTGCCTTACCTTGCTTCTGATCCTCCACTGAGATGCACACAGTTTTCAGCAGACTGTCTTTCAGCGTCTGCAGAGCCGCGTAGTTACTGATTGTAGGACAGGAAGCGCTCTGGAGGCCGGTTGGCGATGGACTCGAGCTGCTGCAGGTTGGCTTCTCCCACCCCGATGCCAAATACGATGACTCCCTGCTGCCTCAGGCGCTGGGGCGGGGTGCGATCACATCGTCCGTGGAGTCTCCATCCGTGATAACCACAGCAATCTGAGGGCACCCCTTGGCCGGCTCTGCTCCCGGCTTCCTCCGTGAAATACTGCGTCCGGAGGAAGTCGATGGCCTTGCCTGTTTCTGTGCCTCCTTCTTGGTAGGCCATGTTTTCAACTGCGATCATCATGGATCTCTTATCCACGTGATCCTTCAGCAGAAAACACCTCGTAAGTTTCATCGCTGTGCTGAGCCACGCCGATACGAACCTTTTTCCAGCCGATGTTGAGGTCCTTGATGACACTTCTGAGAAAACCTTTGACCTTCACGAAGTTCTTCTTGTCGATGCTGGAGGATCCGTCCACCAGGAAGACGATGTCGGCCACGGTGGCATTTTCACAATCTGGACAAGGGGAAGAAAAAGTTCAGCTCTGGGGACGTAAACGTTTGTTCTGTTTATTGACAGCTCAAGTCTGAAACATTTCTTGCATCACAGCAGCAACAACAAAGTGAAATATTTAAGGAAACAAAAAATTAAACAGATATCATTATGAAAACTGAAGACAAAATGTTTTAAAGAGGCCCTATCATGCTTTTTGGGGGTTTCCCTTCCCTGTTCTTTGTTAGGGTAAAAAACATGCTGCAAGAGGTTTTTTAACAAAAGCATTTTATATGGCCCTCTTTTTACCAGAGGACTAAATAATGCACATCGTGGCGTTTAATGCCGAGACATTACAAGGCAAACAATAAATAATAATAAATTGATTTAGCTCTGTTAATGTTAGCTGTTTCCTTCGTTATTTAGGGCTGCTAACAGCTAACAGCTAACAGCTAACAGCTAACAGCTAACAGCTAACGTTAACCAGCTCTCTATCTGCAGATTTGTTGTTCACAAAGTTTTATTATCAAATAAATAATATGCTGTGTCCATCAATAGTACATTTACTGCATCGCGAACATATTTTCGATTATCCCAGAGAGGGCCGTTAGTCTTGATCCTGTAAGGGGAAGCCTTTTTTGGTCAGAGTTTATGTTTCTCAAAGATCCTCATTAGTGAGTCAGGATGCAGGTCCCTCCCCTCAGAGACTTCATCACCTCTTCAGGGACCGGTTTCCCCTCAGCTGTTTGCTCTAATATATTTCCATCATTTCCTAGAAAGTCTAAAGAATGCATAATGTCTTGACTGCAAAGCATTCTGGGACATGTCCAGATGCTTCAAATGATCAGGTTTCTGTTAGAAAAACTTAGAGTGGCTTAATGGGAGCTTAAAGATAACAAAGTCTGGAAGACATCAAATAAATCTGGTCGACTGTTGGCTGTTTATTGAGCTTCAAAACTATTAACAGGCACACTTGTTTTGTCAAACAACGTTTTTTTTTCCTTAGATCTGTTGCATATAAAGGAGGACTATTTACAGTACCAGAGAAACACATACTGATATACACCTGAACATCAGCAGGAGAGGACTCTTTAAAGTAGAGACACTACATACTGATATACACCTGAACATCAGCAGGAGAGGACTCTTTAAAGTAGAGACACTACATACTGATATACACCTGAACACCAGCAGGAGAGGACTCTTTAAAGTAGAGACACTACATACTGATATACACCTGAACACCAGCAGGAGAGGACTCTTTAAAGTAGAGACACTACATACTGATATACACCTGAACACCAGCAGGAGAGGACTCTTTAAAGTAGAGACACTACATACTGATATACACCTGAACACCAGCAGGAGAGGACTCTTTAAAGTAGAGAAACTACATACTGATATACACCTGAACACCAGCAGGAGAGGACTCTTTAAAGTAGAGACACTACATACTGATATACACCTGAACACCAGCAGGAGAGGACTCTTTAAAGTAGAGACACTACATACTGATATACACCTGAACACCAGCAGGGAGAGGACTCTTTAAGTAGAGACACTACATACTGATATACACCTGAACACCAGCAGGAGAGGACTCTTTAAAGTAGAGACACTACATACTGATATACACCTGAACACCAGCAGGAGAGGACTCTTTAAAGTAGAGACACTACATACTGATATACACCTGAACACCAGCAGGAGAGGACTCTTTAAAGTAGAGAAACTACATACTGATATACACCTGAACACCAGCAGGAGAGGACTCTTTAAAGTAGAGACACTACATACTGATATACACCTGAACACCAGCAGGAGAGGACTCTTTAAAGTAGAGACACTACATACTGATATACACCTGAACATCAGCAGGAGAGGACTCTTTAAAGTAGAGACACTACATACTGATATACACCTGAACACCAGCAGGAGAGGACTCTTTAAAGTAGAGAAACTACATACTGATATACACCTGAACACCAGCAGGAGAGGACTCTTTAAAGTAGAGACACTACATACTGATATACACCTGAACACCAGCAGGAGAGGACTCTTTAAAGTAGAGAAACTACATACTGATATACACCTGAACACCAGCAGGAGAGGACTCTTTAAAGTAGAGACACTACATACTGATATACACCTGAACATCAGCAGGAGAGGACTCTTTAAAGTTGAGACACTACATACTGATATACACCTGAACATCAGCAGGAGAGGACTCTTTAAAGTAGAGACACTACATACTAATCTACACCTGAACATCAGCAGGAGAGGACTCTTTAAAGTTGAGACACTACATACTGATATACACCTGAACATCAGCAGGAGAGGACTCTTTAAAGTAGAGACACTACATACTGATATACACCTGAACATCAGCAGGAGAGGACTCTTTAAAGTAGAGACACTACATACTGATATACACCTGAACATCAGCAGAAGAGGACTCTTTAAAGTAGAGACACTACATACTGATATACACCTGCACACCAGCAGGAGAGGACTCTTTAAAGTAGAGACACTACATACTGATATACACCTGAACATCAGCAGGAGAGGACTCTTTAAAGTAGAGAAACTACATACTGATATACACCTGAACACCAGCAGGAGAGGACTCTTTAAAGTAGATACACTACATACTGATATACACCTGAACATCAGCAGGAGAGGACTCTTTAAAGTAGAGAAACTACATACTGATATACACCTGAACACCAGCAGGAGAGGACTCTTTAAGTAGAGACACTACATACTGATATACACCTGAACATCAGCAGGAGAGGACTCTTTAAGTAGAGACAATACATAGTGATATACACCTGAACATCAGCAGGAGAGGACTCTTTAAAGTAGAGACACTACATACTGATATACACCTGAACATCAGCAGGAGAGGACTCTTTAAAGTAGAGACTCTCCATACTGATATACACCTGAACATCAGCAGGAGAGGACTCTTTAAAGTAGAGAAACTACATGCTGATATACACCTGAACACCAGCAGGAGAGGACTCTTTAAAGTAGAGACACTACATACTGATATACACCTGAACATCAGCAGGAGAGGACTCTTTAAAGTAGAGACACTACATACTGATATACACCTGAACATCAGCAGGAGAGGACTCTTTAAAGCAGAGACACTACATACTGATATACACCTGAACACCAGCAGGAGAGGACTCTTTAAAGTAGAGACACTACATACTGATATACACCTGAAACATCAGCAGGAGAGGACTCTTTAAAGTAGAGACACTACATACTGATATACACCTGAACATCAGCAGGAGAGGACTCTTTAAAGCAGAGACACTACATACTGATATACACCTGAACATCAGCAGGAGAGGACTCTTTAAAGTAGAGACACTACATACTGATATACACCTGAACATCAGCAGGAGAGGACTCTTTAAAGCAGAGACACTACATACTGATATAAACCTGAAAATCAGCAGGAGAGGACTCTTTAAAAGTAGAGACACTACATACTGATATACACCTGAACATCAGCAGGAGAGGACTCTTTAAAGTAGAGACTCTACATACTGATATACACCTGAACATCAGCAGGAGAGGACTCTTTAAAGTAGAGACACTACATACTGATATACACCTGAACATCAGCAGGAGAGGACTCTTTAAAGTAGAGACACTACATACTGATATACACCTGAACATCAGCAGAAGAGGACTCTTTAAAGTAGAGACACTAGATACTGATATACAACGCGGTATGGGTGTGACCGCTGACCAGCTTCTCCCCTGCTGTTCTCTGAGAAATATCGAATCCCATGGCGATATCGATGCTGCAGTCTGTAGCAAAGGGAAACATGTATTTACCTTTAGGCAATCATAAACACAGAGGAATACAGTGGGATACATAAGCTGTGTTTACATTCACATATTCTTAAGTGAATTGTAGGTATTGCATTATGAAGAATGTCTGAAAGCAGCAATATTTGACAAAAACTTCCCCAATCATGGCAAACATTTTTACGCTAACAGTTTTTTGATGATATGGATATTCCCATAACACATGACTGCATGTCTTAGTGTCCAGACAGCATGAAACATGGCAACCGCAGAAGTGAGTACAATGCTATCTCATTTCATGGTTTTAGGACATATACCTACACCACTTTATACTAGCTGAATAAAAGAGGCAATTTTGTCATATCATATACACAACTACGATGTACTTCTGCAATGCATGGAAAACATAGGTTGCAGGATCCTCAACAGTGCAATTACAAGACATACAACAATACATATAATAAAAAACTAAATAATAAAAAAATAATGCAATAATAAATTAAGAAAATAAAATAAATCGTGCAAGATCAGGTGTTAGATAGTCTTATGTGGAATGGCCAAGACAAACCTCTTTTGTTTCCAGTACACAAACTCTACCTCTACTATTGTGTTAACTACTAGATTACAGTAATACGTAGCCTTTACTGTGACAAAACTAAGCCCATTGTATTCTCTCTAAACCAGTTGATAGAACAGCACCTCATTTCTTTTTGCAACATTTGAATGGAAACACAGCTATTGAGATGCAAGGAGACACTTTTCAACTTACTGCTTTGGGGGCGAGGGGGTGTGGGAGGGGGCAGTGGTGAAGGTGTGGGTGGGGTTGGGGTTGGATCTGGACCTGGACCTGGATCATCACATAAGATGTCGACCAAGTCTTGCTTGATCTTTGCCAATCCGTTAAAGTTCTGCACATTCAACAGCCTCTCCGGGGTGCCAGTGATCTGCAAGAGCTCCAGGTCATGAACGTCGCCAACGCCGATGGCAAACACCGAAATGTTATGTATCCTGAGATAGTCAGCTGCATCCTCCACGTCATCATGCGAGTCGCCATCTGAGATCAACACCAGATTCTTCGGGACCCCACGACTGTCGTCAAAGTATTTGCTTATGTGATCCAAGGCTTTTCCGAGGAATGTGTTTCCACCAGTGTATTTCAAGTTTTGGATGTGCCCGATCAAATCCTCCTTCTTGAAGTACCTGTTGAGGTCAAACTCGTCCTGAGGCTCATCGCTGAACTGTGCGAGTCCAATACGCACCCAGTTTTCACTGATGATAAAGCTGTTCACTAGGCTTACCGTGAAGTTTTTTATCATGTCGTGCTCTTCTAAATTAATGCTGCTTGACCGATCGAGTAGGAAGATCAGGTCGGCCTTCTTTCCCTTACATCCTGACAGAGCAAAGCAAGAGGAAGACATAAGTCAACATGGCGGACATGGAAATATAAATAGACGAAAATAAAATGTAATTTACAAAAGTACAAAGAAATTCACTGTAAAGCATAATTTGTTTGGCCACACCAAACTCTTCACTCCCTTTTTTACGGTTTGAAGTCTGATAGATAAGGAATTGATGCAGCTTTTCTGTCAATCTGAAAGATCAATAGCAGTTTCTCAGGCTTGGTCAAATCAAATAAACCACATTGGGAAAACAACTAGGTATGCTTTGCTTTTACTGCCTTTGTGATTCTTACTCCTTGAAGCAGAAATGTTTTGAGCATCGAGAGAAACAAAATGTGTAGGATATCTACTTCCACATTGTGATCTTCAAAGTCATTTTCCGTCTTTCCTTGCTTTGCCCAAACCCTAAAGAGCTAGATTAGGTAAGCAATCAAGACCAACACTTTTTTTGTCCAATATTTGTTGTAGAAGTGCATTAAGGGACCCAAACATAAATACTGGTAAACTATACATTCAAATGGTTTATGAACCATCATTCCAAAAGGGCTTTATGTTTATTTGAGTTTTTTTAAAAACATTTTGAATATTTAAACCCATTACACGATTATTGTAGTTCTGTGAAGATCTACAATCACGCTGAAGGACGTGCAGTAAGGAATAATGCTACAAGAAAGTTGAAGGGGCAAATAACTATGGGAATTGATTGAACACAATTCGAATATTGAGCACTTGAATTATTAATTTAGATTCCTGATCTCTAAAACAATTCGTATCATACAGTATGTGTTTTTGTGAGTTTGCTGTATTAAATTATTTCATGAGTTTAGTGGATCTTTTTGGCACAAACTTTAAATCTCATGAACTTCTGTACCACAGATGTGCCCTGACTTGTGCTCACCTTGTTTTGTGGCATTGCAAAGGACAGAAGACATATCGTTGTGCAGAGTTTCTAGGGGCCTCAAAATTGTCCACAAAGAAACTGCTGCCGTTGTTGCCAGCAATGGTCAACAGCTGATTTCGATCTGCTTCTTTCACTCCGACACTGATGACGGTGACCCCGTGTTCTCGCAGTTTATCAGCCGGACCCTTTAGGTTTGAAGGTATGTTCGCAGCTCCGTCTGTGATCACTATGAGAATCTGAGGCACCTCCCGGCCTCCATGTTCGGCATTAAAGTACTCTAGAGAGTAGCTCAAGGCTTTGTCTGTGTAGGTGCCTCCTCCTTCTGGCTTCACAGTTGGTATCGCTGCAAGAACATTACGTTTGGAGTCGTAGGCGTTCAGTTTAAAATGAGTCCGGGGTTCATCTGAGTAGGAAATAAGCCCGAAACGAGTCAGGCTGGTGCCAACTTTGGTTTGGTTCACTATTGATGCCATAAACTTCCGCATGCTTTCATACTGTATTTGAGATATTCTGGAGCTGTCCACCAGGAAAATAATGTCGGCTGTTTCCATTTTACATTCTGGTTTAAAAGAAAAAAGAGGAAAAAGGAGAAGTTAGCAGAGAAATTGGTTGGGAATTATTATGTTCTCATAAAAAATCAATGCCTTACAATTACAACTGATTCAGAGAAAAGATGGTTACATAAAATAAGCTTCACCTCAATATTTTCAGTACACATATGTCCATGACTTTTTTTTCCCCATTTTATTCAAATCTAATTAATTTCAGTAGACAAGACAAAATACTTAGGAGTAGACTGAATATAAGGATTGAGAAATATAAACTTCCAATGGTGGAATGTCACAGTAAGTACATACTCAAGTGTTGTACTATAGTTATATTTAACTACTTTGTATTTGTTGTACTTTAATATATGTATAGAAGGTTTATAGTTATAGAATGATATGATGGGGTACTGTACTAATTATGTACCCAGTATATCAAATTGGTTCCACATTGACAAACCACAACGTTAACATGATATGACATGTGTTGAAGATAAAAACTGAATATTAGTATTTTATAATACTGTGAAAAGAGACAATTTGCATACTGATAACGTTAGATATTTGAAGTACATTTACCTCAAACATTTGGTACTTCTAATTAAGCAACATTCTCAATTCAGATATTTTACTAGTAAGTTAGTATTTTTAGACCATTGTACTTGTATCTTTATTTAAGTAAAGGTTCTGAGCACTTCTTCCACCATTGCTCTACTCCTAGTTGCTTTTGTTGGTTTGCTCTTGACCTGCTCTTACCTCTCTCGCAAATCTTTGAGGAAACCTGGGCTTCCAAGTCCTTCAGCGCATCAAAGTCCTTCTCAGAATAAACCCTGTCAGAATGACCGCTGATCTCCCATCAGCTGGGTGCGGTTGTGATTCTTCACTCCGATGGAGTAGATCACCACTCCCTTTTTCCTCAGAGCCTCAGCGGGACCCCTGACCTCATCTTGTGCCTTGCCGTCTGTAATCACTATCAGATTCTGCCTCATGCCAGGACGCCCTCCTCTGGCCACATCGAAATACCTTGAAACCTCTGTGATGGCCTTTCCTGTGCTCGTACCTGCATTCATCTGCTTCATATCATCAATGGCTTTCGAAATGTTAACTTTGCTGTAGTATTGGTTGAGGGGAAACTCCAGATTGTAGCTGGTACTGAACTGCATGACACCGACGTGCACCTTGTTCTCCCCGATGGCCGACTTGCTGATGACAGATTTCATGAAGTGTTTCATTTTCTGAAACTCAACCTCTTCGATGCTCTCGGAGCTGTCAGTGAGGAAAAAGATGTCGCCCTGTATGTCTCTGCAGGCTGTCGACACAGAACACAGAAATGTTAATGAGGAGTTCCTTTTTTTGCCCTTCTCTTACTTTCATTGGTTATCATTTAGAAGGTATTTTGTTAACTTAGGTTCAGGAGCTGGGCAATGCCTCAATATGCAGCCAACACATCCGGCCACTGTTGTTTCCATTCTTTCAACCCACCCGCCCTCTCCCTTCCACTCATACATTCCCCTTTCTACCTCATCATTAGCCAAACCCATTCATCCCTTCACCCTTCGAACCATTCATCTTTTTATCCCCACACCCACCAATCGCTTCATCCCTACCTTCCCTCATCTCTAAATCCACCAATCGCTTCATCCCTACCTTCCCTCATCTCTAAATCACCACCAATCGCTTCATCTCCTACCTTCCCTCATTCTCTAAATCCACCAATCGCTTCATCCCTACCTTCCCTTATCCCTACATCCAGGCAATAATAATCATAATATAACCCTAAAAAACCCTTTAAAAAAAAAGCGTCAGTCGTCAATCTTCCTACCACCTATCACTATTATGATCGGTTATTAATGATATCTATAAACGTAACTTTACAATTCCTTTTTAGCTGCCATCTCTGAAGTATGAAAAGCGTTCTACCACTGTTCGGTCCTCTCTGTCTGGCCTCTTCTGTTAAACATTTACATGCAAGTTAACTAAGTTTATGTTTCAAGGCTGGGTACGATATGTGAAAAAGTCCTTGTCTCACTTCTGCTCTCCATTTGTAAAAATGATTTTTTTTCTTACCGTCTTCAGAACAGATTTCTCTGGATGATGTCATTGTTGATGGATTTCAAGGTAATCAAAATTTCTGACGGAGATAGTCCTCTTGGGGTCTCCTGCAATCTCTTCTAGCTGAGTTTGGGATGAATCTTTCACCCCAATGGCGGTAGATAATGATTCCCTGGTCCCTCAGTTCTTTTGCAGGAGCCTCCACCTCATCAGTGGACTTTCCATCTGTGAGGACAATCAGGTACTTTGGGCTTCATGATCACGCGTGTCGCCGCGCTCTCTTAAAGAGTCTGCCAAGTGTGAAAGTGCTTTTTCCTGTCTCCGTCCCTACCTCCTGCGTGATGTATACTGTTGATGGCCTTCACCAATGACTTTGTATCGGGAGTGGTTTGTCAGATCAAATTCATCAGTGGGGAATCAGAATATTTCACAAGCCCAATGCGGACTTGTTGTGGTCCAATTTGGAATAGTGTTCTATAAACTGTTGAGGAAGTTCTGCATGTCTTTGAAGTCTTGCCATATGTAATGCTTCCTGATTCATCCATAAGGAAGAAGATGTCTGCTTCATCCGTTTTTACACAAACTAAATTGGAAAACAATAATAAGACATTATTATTTTCACATATTCAACAAGAGGAAGGTTAAAATTGAACATTCATTTGGAAATATTTTGAGTTAGATTAAATACAAAAAGATGGCTCTTAAAGGGGAAGTTACCATTTTTAAATCCCCATAGCACAAACAAACCAAATAGATCTATGGAGATGTCTGTCTTTCACTGTTCATTGAGGGTCAAGTCAAATGTATTATTGATCCACAAATCCCTTTAACTTTGTCTTTACAGTATTTAATTCGCTCTACAACATGAATACAAATTTTAGTTTTTTAAAGTTGACTTTTTGTGTTTATGGTATTTCCTGTAAGACCAGAAATTGTAAAAATACAGATGTTTTTACCTAAGTAAAAGTAGTATACCACAGTGTAGAAATACCATCATCAACATATACTCAAATGCAATATTATGAAAATACTTGAGTAAAAGTCCAGTGCATAGCTTAAGTTACTTATTTACTTTCCACCAGTCCCAAAGGACAACTCCAACAAACAAACAAAAAAATGTTTCAACCTTCTTTTGGTTCTGTTTTCCTTGGGACTGGCTTTTGGCAATGATGTTTTTGCACAGGATTTTCTGCAGGGTCTGCTTCAGGTGCGTTCAGCTCGGTTGAAACTTCCGGGTAAAACGTGCTGATAAGGAGGGTGTGAAGCCATTCCAACAGTTCGCTCTCGATGGCATCTTTTAGTTCCTACAGCGTAAATGGTTAACACCGGCTCGACGAGCAGAGTAATTGCTGCTTCGCTCACTTCATCCTGGGATTCACCATCAGTGATGACCACCGCCACCTGTTGGACACCGTTTTCTTTCCTGCCAGCCCTTCTCTTTACAAAGACGTTTTCCCGAGTAAAATTCAGGGCCTCTCCAGTCTCGTACCACCTCCATTGTAAGGCAGGATCTTAATGTACTCAAGCAATTCGTCCGTGTCGTTGAATGAGTTGAGGAAGACCTGTGGTGTGGAGACATCGTTGTACGTGACAATGCCCACTCTGACTCTATTCGGACTTACATCTCAAGCTGCTCACGATCAAGTGCAGGAATTTGCGCATGAGCCGAAAGTTTTCATTTCCCAATGCTTCCCGACTCGTCAACGATGAAGACACGATGTCTGCCACCTTTGCTCCTTTGCAATCTGTGAAAGGAGGGGTAATTTGAGTCATCTGCTACAAAGGGACTTTATTACAGGTATACTTGTAACCAGCGACGTAGCAGAGCCTCACCTGTCATTCTCCAATGTAACGAACAAATACAAAATAATAAATAATAATAATAATAATAAAATGTCTCCACTGATCTGTGTTGTAAATGTGATTTATGTATGATTCCAATCGCTTTTTATTGTCAAAATCTGTAAATTTGCCGAGCTCCGCTACAACTACATGGGAGCGATGAGAAGTGAGGCAGGGACACGTAACACCACATAAACTGGCTGGAGCGCGGGCACTAATTTAGTGCGAGCACTTATTTTGTGCCCGCGCTCCAGCCAGTTTCTGTGGGGTAAGGTGAGGCAGAGATGAGATCTGCCTCACCTCAGATGCGTCACCCCACAGAAACTGGCTGGAAAGCGGGCACTAAGCGCATGCCTGTTCCCATCTCACTGTAGGTCACCAATGTAATGTTTGTAGATCCCTTTATTACATTTATCCTCGCCATCCATAGTCTCTAAATAACTTATTTCACGTATATATGATATTTAGGCTCGCTGGTCTCATCATACGACGGCAATGAGAAAGCACCAGGAGAGGCAGCCATAACCTCTGCCGCACTGAAGGGGGCGCACGTGAGCCCACAGGTTCTTGTTGCTACTGTAATTCTACACAGAGACAGTAGACGCAAACAACAAACTAGACTTTTGAAACTAGAGGAAGATAAGGAGGACTTTTACAAAAAAGTAATAGAGATTGTTGTCCCAGAAGGACAGCATGGACTTCATCTTCAAGTCAAGGTAAGACCACAATTGTATTCAAAATGGGATTTTACTAAGAGAGAACAATCCAATATTTAAATGAACCTACATTTTTTGGGTATCCTTTTGTTGAACAGTCTGTTTAAAATGAATCGAAACATCAGACAAAAAAAAGCTTTTGAAAATAACAGAATAATGCTAGTTTTCTGTAGCTGTCCACTTCTAGATGCTAACTGAAAAACGTGAAAAACTGCTAGTAGGATGGTTGGGATTCTCACCTTCAGTAATGTTCTCCTTTTTCTCAGTCAAGATGACATCCTCAAAATTAACACGTTTGAAGTATTATATGCATAGTCAGTACTGGCAAATGATTCGATTGATTCCATACTTGCACCTGCACTCATTCCTATAAGAGTTACCCCCGATGATTTGATCAATTCAGCGTCCCTATACACGGAGCGTTTGGAGTCTTTTGCACTCATAACAACCAGATACTGTCGGGAGCCTTGATGACGCACGGCCCCCAGCCTCACTGGTAAAAAGGTGAGTGTTGGCGTTGATCAGGGCACCGCCCAGGTCAGCTGGTTTGTTGGTTTTTGGGCGCAGGCGGAAACGCTTGACAGTTTCGATGGTTTTCTGTTTGTTTTTTAAAATTTCTCAAGGGAGAATTCGACCTTGGTATCTTCACCGTACTGGGCCAAACCAATACGGTAGGTGGACGCTGAGGCATTTGAGACGATCGATCAATTCAACCAAGTTAGATATGACCCCCGGGACCATTCCTGGAGCCATGCTACCGTCCAGCATGAAAAAGATATCTGCAAACCTGTCTGTCAATGCTGGAAAAGAGACAACATTATTACTTTTTTCTTACATTACAGTCAAGATGTCAGTATACTCCAAAGTGTATGGCTAGTTTATCCAATAACTCAACCTTAAAGATCATTCATCTCGTAGGATATGCACTAACATTTGTATTTTCAGGTATTTTCACATTAAGCTAACTTTGAATCTTTCCAAGCTCTCATTTTGTACCCATATACAAGCAGGTACAGCACCATGAATTCCCATTACCCCCTTTGCACAATTCATCATGTCTAGCCACGCTCTTTGATGGCTGCCATTGAATGACCTATTGGGAATAGGTATACTTTCAAACTTGTTACCAAAAAGGACTGCATGATTGTAACAGCAGGAAACTTATTAAAAACAGTATGATGATCAATTTCTTGTTTTTCAAACAAACCCAGTATGATCTCATCTTCAAATACCAAAACCTAATTTGGACTATTATATGATGTTTTCTTCAATCCTTTGCCTTACCTTGCTTCTGATCCTCCACTGAGATGCACACAGTTTTCAGCAGACTGTCTTTCAGCGTCTGCAGAGCCGCGTAGTTACTGATGTAGGACAGGAAGCGCTCTGGAGGCCGGTTGGCGATGGACTCGAGCTGCTGCAGGTTGGCTTCTCCCACCCCTATGCCAATACGATGACTCCCTGCTGCCTCAGGCGCTGGGCGGGGTGCGATCACATCGTCCGTGGAGTCTCCATCCGTGATAACCACAGCAATCTGAGGCACCCCTTGGCCGGCTCTGCTCCCGGCTTCCTCCGTGAAATACTGCGTCCGGAGGAAGTCGATGGCCTTGCCTGTTTCTGTGCCTCCTTCTTGGTAGGCCATGTTTTCAACTGCGATCATCATGGATCTCTTATCCACGTGATCCTTCAGCAGGAAAACACCTCGTAAGTTTCATCGCTGTGCTGAGCCACGCCGATACGAACCTTTTTCCAGCCGATGTTGAGGTCCTTGATGACACTTCTGAGAAAACCTTTGACCTTCACGAAGTTCTTCTTGTCGATGCTGGAGGATCCGTCCACCAGGAAGACGATGTCGGCCACGGTGGCATTTTCACAATCTGGACAAGGGGAAGAAAAAGTTCAGCTCTGGGGACGTAAACGTTTGTTCTGTTTATTGACAGCTCAAGTCTGAAACATTTCTTGCATCACAGCAGCAACAACAAAGTGAAATATTTAAGGAAACAAAAAATTAAACAGATATCATTATGAAAACTGAAGACAAAATGTTTAAAGAGGCCCTATCATGCTTTTTGGGGGTTTCCCTTCCCTGTTCTTTGTTAGGGTAAAAAACATGCTGCAAGAGGTTTTTTAACAAAAGCATTTTATATGGCCCTCTTTTTACCAGAGGACTAAATAATGCACATCGTGGCGTTTAATGCCGAGACATTACAAGGCAAACAATAAATAATAATAAATTGATTTAGCTCTGTTAATGTTAGCTGTTTCCTTCGTTATTTAGGGCTGCTAACAGCTAACAGCTAACAGCTAACAGCTAACAGCTAACAGCTAACGTTAACCAGCTCTCTATCTGCAGATTTGTTGTTCACAAAGTTTTATTATCAAATAAATAATATGCTGTGTCCATCAATAGTACATTTACTGCATCGCGAACATATTTTCGATTATCCCAGAGAGGCCGTTAGTCTTGATCCTGTAAGGGGAAGCCTTTTTTGGTCAGAGTTTATGTTTCTCAAAGATCCTCATTAGTGAGTCAGGATGCAGGTCCCTCCCCTCAGAGACTTCATCACCTCTTCAGGGACCGGTTTCCCCTCAGCTGTTTGCTCTAATATATTTCCATCATTTCCTAGAAAGTCTAAAGCATGCATAATGTCTTGACTGCAAAGCATTCTGGGACATGTCCAGATGCTTCAAATGATCAGGTTTCTGTTAGAAAAACTTAGAGTGGCTTAATGGGAGCTTAAAGATAACAAAGTCTGGAAGACATCAAATAAATCTGGTCGACTGTTGGCTGTTTATTGAGCTTCAAAACTATTAACAGGCACACTTGTTTTGTCAAACAACGTTTTTTTTTTCCTTAGATCTGTTGCATATAAAGGAGACTATTTACAGTACCAGAGAAACACATACTGATATACACCTGAACATCAGCAGGAGAGGACTCTTTAAAGTAGAGACACTACATACTGATATACACCTGAACACCAGCAGGAGAGGACTCTTTAAAGTAGAGACACTACATACTGATATACACCTGAACACCAGCAGGAGAGGACTCTTTAAAGTAGAGACACTACATACTGATATACACCTGAACACCAGCAGGAGAGGACTCTTTAAAGTAGAGACACTACATACTGATATACACCTGAACACCAGCAGGAGAGGACTCTTTAAAGTAGAGACACTACATACTGATATACACCTGAACACCAGCAGGAGAGGACTCTTTAAAGTAGAGAAACTACATACTGATATACACCTGAACACCAGCAGGAGAGGACTCTTTAAAGTAGAGACACTACATACTGATATACACCTGAACACCAGCAGGAGAGGACTCTTTAAAGTAGAGACACTACATACTGATATACACCTGAACACCAGCAGGAGAGGACTCTTTAAAGTAGAGACACTACATACTGATATACACCTGAACACCAGCAGGAGAGGACTCTTTAAAGTAGAGACACTACATACTGATATACACCTGAACACCAGCAGGAGAGGACTCTTTAAAGTAGAGACACTACATACTGATATACACCTGAACACCAGCAGGAGAGGACTCTTTAAAGTAGAGAAACTACATACTGATATACACCTGAACACCAGCAGGAGAGGACTCTTTAAAGTAGAGACACTACATACTGATATACACCTGAACACCAGCAGGAGAGGACTCTTTAAAGTAGAGACACTACATACTGATATACACCTGAACACCAGCAGGAGAGGACTCTTTAAAGTAGAGACACTACATACTGATATACACCTGAACACCAGCAGGAGAGGACTCTTTAAAGTAGAGAAACTACATACTGATATACACCTGAACACCAGCAGGAGAGGACTCTTTAAAGTAGAGACACTACATACTGATATACACCTGAACACCAGCAGGAGAGGACTCTTTAAAGTAGAGACACTACATACTGATATACACCTGAACACCAGCAGGAGAGGACTCTTAAAGTAGAGACACTACATACTGATATACACCTGAACATCAGCAGGAGAGGACTCTTTAAAGTTGAGACACTACATACTGATATACACCTGAACATCAGCAGGAGAGGACTCTTTAAAGTAGAGACACTACATACTAATCTACACCTGAACATCAGCAGGAGAGGACTCTTTTAAAGTTGAGACACTACATACTGATATACACCTGAACATCAGCAGGAGAGGACTCTTTAAAGTAGAGACACTACATACTGATATACACCTGAAACATCAGCAGGAGAGGACTCTTTAAAGTAGAGACACTACATACTGATATACACCTGAACATCAGCAGAAGAGGACTCTTTAAAGTAGAGACACTACATACTGATATACACCTGCACACCAGCAGGAGAGGACTCTTTAAAGTAGAGACACTACATACTGATATACACCTGAACATCAGCAGGAGAGGACTCTTTAAAGTAGAGAAACTACATACTGATATACACCTGAACACCAGCAGGAGAGGACTCTTTAAAGTAGATACACTACATACTGATATACACCTGAACATCAGCAGGAGAGGACTCTTTAAAGTAGAGAAACTACATACTGATATACACCTGAACACCAGCAGGAGAGGACTCTTTAAAGTAGAGACACTACATACTGATATACACCTGAACATCAGCAGGAGAGGACTCTTTAAAGTAGAGACAATACATAGTGATATACACCTGAACATCAGCAGGAGAGGACTCTTTAAAGTAGAGACACTACATACTGATATACACCTGAACATCAGCAGGAGAGGACTCTTTAAAGTAGAGACTCTCCATACTGATATACACCTGAACATCAGCAGGAGAGGACTCTTTAAAGTAGAGAAACTACATGCTGATATACACCTGAACACCAGCAGGAGAGGACTCTTTAAAGTAGAGACACTACATACTGATATACACCTGAACATCAGCAGGAGAGGACTCTTTAAAGTAGAGACACTACATACTGATATACACCTGAACATCAGCAGGAGAGGACTCTTTAAAGCAGAGACACTACATACTGATATACACCTGAACACCAGCAGGAGAGGACTCTTTAAAGTAGAGACACTACATACTGATATACACCTGAACATCAGCAGGAGAGGACTCTTTAAAGTAGAGACACTACATACTGATATACACCTGAACATCAGCAGGAGAGGACTCTTTAAAGCAGAGACACTACATACTGATATACACCTGAACATCAGCAGGAGAGGACTCTTTAAAGTAGAGACACTACATACTGATATACACCTGAACATCAGCAGGAGAGGACTCTTTAAAGCAGAGACACTACATACTGATATAACCTGAAAATCAGCAGGAGAGGACTCTTTAAAGTAGAGACACTACATACTGATATACACCTGAACATCAGCAGGAGAGGACTCTTTAAAGTAGAGACTCTACATACTGATATACACCTGAACATCAGCAGGAGAGGACTCTTTAAAGTAGAGACACTACATACTGATATACACCTGAACATCAGCAGGAGAGGACTCTTTAAAGTAGAGACACTACATACTGATATACACCTGAACATCAGCAGAAGAGGACTCTTTAAAGTAGAGACACTAGATACTGATATACACGCGGTATGGTGTGACCGCTGACCAGCTTCTCCCCTGCTGTTCTCTGAGAAATATCGAATCCCATGGCGATATCGATGCTGCAGTCTGTAGCAAAGGGAAACATGTATTTACCTTTAGGCAATCATAAACACAGAGGAATACAGTGGGATACATAAGCTGTGTTTACATTCACATATTCTTAAGTGAATTTGTAGGTATTGCATTATGAAGAATGTCTGAAAGCAGCAATATTTGACAAAAACTTCCCCAATCATGGCAAACATTTTTACGCTAACAGTTTTTTGATGATATGGATATTCCCATAACACATGACTGCATGTCTTAGTGTCCAGACAGCATGAAACATGGCAACCGCAGAAGTGATACAATGCTATCTCATTTCATGGTTTTAGGACATATACCTACACCACTTTATACTAGCTGAAATAAAAGAGCAATTTTGTCATATCATATACACAACTACGATGTACTTCTGCAATGCATGGAAAACATAGGTTGCAGGATCCTCAACAGTGCAATTACAAGACATACAACAATACATATAATAAAAAACTAAATAATAAAAAAATAATGCAATAATAAATTAAGAAATAAAATAAATCGTGCAAGATCAGGTGTTAGATAGTCTTATGTGGAATGGCCAAGACAACCTCTTTTGTTTCCAGTACACAAACTCTACCTCTACTATTGTGTTAACTACTAGATTACAGTAATACGTAGCCTTTACTGTGACAAAACTAAGCCCATTGTATTCTCTCTAAACCAGTTGATAGAACAGCACCTCATTTCTTTTTGCAACATTTGAATGGAAACACAGCTATTGAGATGCAAGGAGACACTTTTTCAACTTACTGCTTTGGGGGCGAGGGGGGTGTGGGAGGGGGGGCAGTGGTGAGGTGTGGGTGGGGTTGGGGTTGGATCTGGACCTGGACCTGGATCATCACATAAGATGTCGACCAAGTCTTGCTTGATCCTTGCAATCCGTTAAAGTTCTGCACATTCAACAGCCTCTCCGGGGTGCCAGTGATCTGCAAGAGCTCCAGGTCATGAACGTCGCCAACGCCGATGGCAAACACCGAAATGTTATGTATCCTGAGATAGTCAGCTGCATCCTCCACGTCATCATGCGAGTCGCCATCTGAGATCAACACCAGATTCTTCGGGACCCCACGACTGTCGTCAAAGTATTTGCTTATGTGATCCAAGGCTTTTCCGAGGAATGTGTTTCCACCAGTGTATTTCAAGTTTTGGATGTGCCCGATCAAATCCTCCTTCTTGAAGTACCTGTTGAGGTCAAACTCGTCCTGAGGCTCATCGCTGAACTGTGCGAGTCCAATACGCACCCAGTTTTCACTGATGATAAAGCTGTTCACTAGGCTTACCGTGAAGTTTTTTTATCATGTCGTGCTCTTCTAAATTAATGCTGCTTGACCGATCGAGTAGGAAGATCAGGTCGGCCTTCTTTCCCTTACATCCTGACAGAGCAAAGCAAGAGGAAGACATAAGTCAACATGGCGGACATGGAAATATAAATAGACGAAATAAAATGTAATTTACAAAAGTACAAAGAAATTCACTGTAAAGCATAATTTGTTTGGCCCACACCAAACTCTTCACTCCCTTTTTTACGGTTTGAAGTCTGATAGATAAGGAATTGATGCAGCTTTTCTGTCAATCTGAAAGATCAATAGCAGTTTCTCAGGCTTGGTCAAATCAAATAAACCACATTGGGAAAACAACTAGGTATGCTTTGCTTTTACTGCCTTTGTGATTCTTACTCCTTGAAGCAGAAATGTTTTGAGCATCGAGAGAAACAAAATGTGTAGGATATCTACTTCCACATTGTGATCTTCAAAGTCATTTTCCGTCTTTCCCTTGCTTTGCCCAAACCCTAAAGAGCTAGATTAGGTAAGCAATCAAGACCAACACTTTTTGTCCAATATTTGTTGTAGAAGTGCATTAAGGGACCAAACATAAATACTGGTAAACTATACATTCAAATGTTTATGGAACCATCATTCCAAAAGGGCTTTATGTTTATTTGAGTTTTTTTTAAAACATTTTGAATATTTTAAACCCATTACACGATTATTGTAGTTCTGTGAAGATCTACAATCACGCTGAAGGACGTGCAGTAAGGAATAATGCTACAAGAAAGTTGAAGGGGCAAATAACTATGGAATTGATTGAACACAATTCGAATATTGAGCACTTGAATTATTAATTTAGATTCCTGATCTCTAAAAACAATTCGTATCATACAGTATGTGTTTTTGTGAGTTTGCTGTATTAAATTATTTCATGAGTTTAGTGGATCTTTTGGCACAAACTTTAAATCTCATGAACTTCTGTACCACAGATGTGCCCTGACTTGTGCTCACCTTGGTTTTGTGGCATTGCAAAGGACAGAAGACATATCGTTGTGCAGAGTTTCTAGGGCCTCAAAATTGTCCACAAAGAAACTGCTGCCGTTGTTGCCAGCAATGGTCAACAGCTGATTTCGATCTGCTTCTTTCACTCCGACACTGATGACGGTGACCCCGTGTTCTCGCAGTTTATCAGCCGGACCCTTTAGGTTTGAAGGTATGTTCGCAGCTCCGTCTGTGATCACTATGAGAATCTGAGGCACCTCCCGGCCTCCATGTTCGGCATTAAAGTACTCTAGAGAGTAGCTCAAGGCTTTGTCTGTGTAGGTGCCTCCTCCTTCTGGCTTCACAGTTGGTATCGCTGCAAGAACATTACGTTTGGAGTCGTAGGCGTTCAGTTTAAAATGAGTCCCGGGGTTCATCTGAGTAGGAAATAAGCCCGAAACGAGTCAGGCTGGTGCCAACTTTGGTTTGGTTCACTATTGATGCCATAAACTTCCGCATGCTTTCATACTGTATTTGAGATATTCTGGAGCTGTCCACCAGGAAAATAATGTCGGCTGTTTCCATTTTACATTCTGGTTTAAAAGAAAAAAGAGGAAAAAGGAGAAGTTAGCAGAGAAATTGGTTGGGAATTATTATGTTCTCATAAAAAATCAATGCCTTACAATTACAAACTGATTCAGAGAAAAGATGGTTACATAAAATAAGCTTCACCTCAATATTTTCAGTACACATATGTCCATGACTTTTTTTCCCCATTTTATTCAAATCTAATTAATTTCAGTAGACAAGACAAAATACTTAGGAGTAGACTGAATATAAGGATTGAGAAATATAAACTTCCAATGGTGGAATGTCACAGTAAGTACATACTCAAGTGTTGTACTATAGTTATATTTAACTACTTTTGTATTTGTTGTACTTTAATATATGTATAGAAGAGAGGTTTATAGTTATAGAATGATATGATGGGGGTACTGTACTAATTATGTACCCAGTATATCAAATTGGTTCCACATTGACAAACCACAACGTTAACATGATATGACATGTGTTGAAGATAAAAAACTGAATATTAGTATTTTATAATACTGTGGAAAAGAAGACAATTGCATACTGATAACGTTAGATATTTGAAGTACATTTACCTCAAACATTTGGTACTCTAATTAGCAACATTCTCAATTCAGATATTTTACTAGTAAGTTAGTATTTTTAGACCATTGTACTTGTATCTTTATTTAGTAAAGGTTCTGAGCACTTTCTTCCACCATTGCTCTACTCCTAGTTGCTTTTGTGGTTTGCTCTTGACCTGCTCTTACCTCTCTCGCAAATCTTTGAGGAAACCTGGGCTTCCAAGTCCTTCAGCGCATCAAAGTCCTTCTCAGAATAAACCCTGTCAGAATGACCGCTGATCTCCATCAGCTGGTGTGCGGTTGTTGATTCTTCACTCCGATGGAGTGATCACCACTCCCTTTTCTAGAGCCTCGCAGCGGGACCCCTGACCTCATCTTGTGCCTTGCCGTCTGTAATCACTATCAGAGTCTGCCTCATGCAGGACGCCCTCCTCTGGCACAATCGAAATACCTTGAAACCTCTGTGATGGCCTTTCCTGTGCTCGTACCTGCATTCATCGCTTCATATCATCAATTGCTTTCGAAATGTTAACTTTGCTGTAGTTATTGGTTGAGGGGAAACTCCAGATTGTAAGTCTGGTAACTGAACTGCATGACACCGACGTGCACCTTGTTCTCCCCGATGGCCGACTTGCTGATGACAGATTTCATGAAGTGTTTCATTTTCTGAAACTCAACCTCTTCGATGCTCTCGGAGCTGTCAGTGAGGAAAAAGATGTCGCCCTGTATGTCTCTGCAGGCTGTCGACACAGAACACAGAAATGTTAATGAGGAGTTCCTTTTTTGCCCTTCTCTTACTTTCATTGGTTATCATTTAGAAGGTATTTTGTTAACTTAGGTTCAGGAGCTGGGCAATGCCTCAATATGCAGCCAACACATCCGGCCACTGTTGTTTCCATTCTTTCAACCCACCCGCCCTCTCCCTTCCACTCATACATTCCCCTTTCTACCTCATCATTAGCCAACCCATTCATCCCTTCACCCTTCGAACCATTCATCTTTTATCCCCACACCCACCAATCCGCTTCATCCCTACCTTCCCTCATCTCTAAAATCCACCAATCGCTTCATCCCTACCTTCCCTCATCTCTAAAATCCACCAATCGCTTCATCCTACCTTCCCTCATCTCTAAATCCACAATCGCTTCATCCCTACCTTCCCTTATCCCTACATCCAGGCAATAATAATCATAATATAACCCTAAAAACCCTTTAAAAAAAAGCGTCAGTCGTCAATCTTCCTACCACCTATCACTATTATGATCGGTTATTAATGATATCTATAAACGTAACTTTTACAATTCTTTTTAGCTGCCATCTCTGAAGTATGAAAAGCGTCTACACTGTTCGGTCCTCTCTGTCTGGCCTCTTCTGTTAAACATTTAACATGCAGTTAACTAAGTTTATGTTTCAAGGCTGGGTACGATATGTGAAAAAGGTCCTTGTCTCACTTCTGCTCTCCATTTGTAAAATGATTTTTTTTCTTACCGTCTTCAGAACAGATTTCTCTGATGATGTCATTGTTGATGGATTTCAAGGTATCAAATTTCTGACGGAGATAGTCCTCTTGGGGTCTCCTGCAATCTCTTCTAGCTGAGTTTTGGGATGAAAGCTTTCACACCCCAATGGCGTAGATAATGATTCCATGGTCCCTCAGTTCTTTTGCAGGAGCCTCCACCTCATCAGTGGACTTTCCATCTGTGAGGACAATCAGGTACTTTGGGGCTTCATGATCACGCGTGTCCGCCCGCTCTCTTAAAGAGTCTGCCCAAGTGTGAAAGTGCTTTCCTGTCTCCGTCCCACCTCCTGCGTGATGTATACTGTTGATGGCCTTCACCAATGACTTTGTATCGGAGTGGGTTGTCAGATCAAATTCATCAGTTGGGGATCAGCATATTTCACAAGCCCAATGCGGACTTGTTGTGGTCCAATTTGGAAGTGTTCTATAAACTTGTTGAGGAAGTTCTGCATGTCTTTGAAGTCTTGCCATGTAATGCTTCCTGAGTCATCCATAAGGAAGAAGATGTCTGCTTCATTCCGTTTTTACACAAACTAAATTGGGAAAACAATAATAAGACATTATTATTTTCACATATTCAACAAAGAGGAAGGTTAAAATTGAACATTCATTTGGAAATATTTGAGTTAGATTAAATACAAAAAGATGGCTCTTCAAGGGGAAAGTACCATTTTAAATCCCCATAGCACAAACAAACCAAATAGATCTAGGAGATGTCTGTCTTTCACTGTTCATTGAGGGTCAAGTCAAAATGTATTATTGATCCACAAATCCTTTAACTTTGTCTTTACATGTATTTAATTCGCTCTACAACATGAATACAAATTTAGTTTTTAAAGTTGACTTTTTGTGTTTATGGTATTTCCTGTAAGACCAGAAATTGTAAAACTACAGATTGTTTTACCTAAGTAAAAGTAGTTATACCACAGTGTAGAAATACCATCATCAACATATACTCAAATGCAATATTATGAAAATACTTGAGTAAAGTCCAGTGCATAGCTTAAGTTACTTATTTACTTTCCACCAGTCCCAAAGACAACTCCAACAAACAAACAAAAAACTGTTTCAAACCTTCTTTGGTTTCTGTTTTCCTTGGGACTGCTTTGGCAATGATGTTTTTGCACAGGATTTTCTGCAGGGTCTGCTTCAGGTGCGTCAGCTCGGTGAAACTTTCCCGGGTAAAAACGTGCTGATCAGGAGGGTGTGAAGCCATTTCCAACAGTTCGCTCTCGATGGCATCTTTTATTCCTACAGCGTAAATGGTAACACCGGCTCGACGCAGAGTAATTGCTGCTTCGCTCACTTCATCCTGGGATTCACCATCAGTGATGACCACCGCCACCTGTTGGACACCGTTTTCTTTCCTGCAGCCCTTCTCTTTAACAAAGACGTTTTCCCGAGTAAAATTCAGGGCCTCTCCAGTCTTCGTACCACCTCCATTGTAAGGCAGGATCTTAATGTACTCAAGCAATTCGTCCGTGTCGTTGAATGAGTTGAGGAAGACCTGTGGTGTGGAGACATCGTTGTACGTGACAATGCCCACTCTGACTCTATTCGGACTTACATCCAAGCTGCTCACGATCAAGTGCAGGAATTTGCGCATGAGCCGAAAGTTTTCATTTCCAATGCTTCCCGACTCGTCAACGATGAACACAATGTCTGCCACCTTTGCTCCTTTGCAATCTGTGAAAGGAGGGTAATTTGAGTCATCTGCTACAAAGGGACTTTATTACAGGTATACTTGTAACCAGCGACGTAGCAGAGCCTCACCTGTCATTCTCCAATGTAACGAACAAATACAAAATAATAAATAATAATAATAATAAAATGTCTCCACTGATCTGTGTTGTAAATGTGATTTATGTATGATTCCAATCGCTTTTTATTGTCAAAATCTGTAAATTTGCCGAGCTCCGCTACAACTACATGGGAGCGATGAGAAGTGAGGCAGGGACACGTAACACCACATAAACTGGCTGGAGCGCGGGCACTAATTTAGTGCGAGCACTTATTTTGTGCCCGCGCTCCAGCCAGTTTCTGTGGGGTAAGGTGAGGCAGAGATGAGATCTGCCTCACCTCAGATGCGTCACCCCACAGAAACTGGCTGGAAAGCGAGCACTAAGCGCATGCCTGTTCCCATCTCACTGTAGGTCACCAATGTAATGTTTGTAGATCCCTTTATTACATTTATCCTCGCCATCCATAGTCTCTAAATAACTTATTTCACGTATATATGATATTTAGGCTCGCTGGTCTCATCATACGACGGCAATGAGAAAGCACCAGGAGAGGCAGCCATAACCTCTGCCGCACTGAAGGGGGCGCACGTGAGCCCACAGGTTCTTGTTGCTACTGTTTTCTACACGCAGAGACGGTAGACGCAAACAACAAACTAGACTTTTGAAACTAGAGGAAGATAAGGAGGACTTTTACAAAAAAGTAATAGAGATTGTTGTCCAGAAGGACAGCATGGACTTCATCTTCAAGTCAAGGTAAGACCACAATTGTATTCAAAATGGGATTTTACTAAGAGAGAACAATCCAATATTTAAATGAAACTACATTTTTTGGGTATCCTTTTGTTGAACAGTCTGTTTAAAATGAATCGAAACATCAGACAAAAAAAGCTTTTGAAAATAACAGAATAATGCTAGTTTTCTGTAGCTGTCCACTTCTAGATGCTAACTGAAAAACGTGAAAAACTGCTAGTAGGATGGTTGGGATTCTCACCTTCAGTAATGTTCTCCTTTTTCTCAGTCAAGATGACATCCTCCAAAATTAACACGTTTGAAGTATTATATGCATAGTCAGTACTGGCAAATGATTCGATTGATTCCATACTTGCACCTGCACTCATTCCTATAAGAGTTACCCCCGATGATTTGATCAATTCAGCGTCCCTATACACGGAGCGTTTGGAGTCTTTTGCACTCATAACAACCAGATACTGTCGGGAGCCTTGATGCGCACGGCCCCCAGCCTCACTGGTAAAAAGGTGAGTGTTGGCGTTGATCAGGGCACCGCCCAGGTCAGCTGGTTTGTTGGTTTTTGGGCGCAGGCGGAAACGCTTGACAGTTTCGATGGTTTTCTGTTTGTTTTTAAATTTCTCAAGGGAGAATTCGACCTTGGTATCTTCACCGTACTGGGCCAAACCAATACGGTAGGTGGACGCTGAGGCATTGAGACGATCGATCAATTCAACCAAGTTAGATATGACCCCCGGGACCATTCCTGGAGCCATGCTACCGTCCAGCATGAAAAAGATATCTGCAAACCTGTCTGTCAATGCTGGAAAAAGAGACAACATTATTACTTTTTCTTACATTACAGTCAAGATGTCAGTATACTCCAAAGTGTATGGCTAGTTTATCCAATAACTCAACCTTAAAGATCATTCATCTCGTAGGATATGCACTAACATTTTGTATTTTCAGGTATTTTCACATTAAGCTAACTTTGAATCTTTCCAAGCTCTCATTTTGTACCCATATACAAGCAGGTACAGCACCATGAATTCCCATTACCCCCTTTGCACAATTCATCATGTCTAGCCACGCTCTTTGATGGCTGCCATTGAATGACCTATTGGGAATAGGTATACTTTCAAAACTTGTTACCAAAAAGGACTGCATGATTGTAACAGCAGGAAACTTATTAAAAACAGTATGATGATCAATTTCTTGTTTTTCAAACAAACCCAGTATGATCTCATCTTCAAATACCAAAACCTAATTTGGACTATTATATGATGTTTTCTTCAATCCTTTGCCTTACCTTGCTTCTGATCCTCCACTGAGATGCACACAGTTTTCAGCAGACTGTCTTTCAGCGTCTGCAGAGCCGCGTAGTTACTGATGTAGGACAGGAAGCGCTCTGGAGGCCGGTTGGCGATGGACTCGAGCTGCTGCAGGTTGGCTTCTCCCACCCCGATGCCAAATACGATGACTCCCTGCTGCCTCAGGCGCTGGGCGGGTGCGATCACATCGTCCGTGGAGTCTCCATCCGTGATAACCACAGCAATCTGAGGCACCCCTTGGCCGGCTCTGCTCCCGGCTTCCTCCGTGAAATACTGCGTCCGGAGGAAGTCGATGGCCTTGCCTGTTTCTGTGCCTCCTTCTTGGTAGGCCATGTTTTCAACTGCGATCATCATGGATCTCTTATCCACGTGATCCTTCAGCAGAAACACCTCGTAAGTTTCATCGCTGTGCTGAGCCACGCCGATACGAACCTTTTTCCAGCCGATGTTGAGGTCCTTGATGACACTTCTGAGAAAACCTTTGACCTTCACGAAGTTCTTCTTGTCGATGCTGGAGGATCCGTCCACCAGGAAGACGATGTCGGCCACGGTGGCATTTTCACAATCTGGACAAGGGGAAGAAAAAGTTCAGCTCTGGGGACGTAAACGTTTGTTCTGTTTATTGACAGCTCAAGTCTGAAACATTTCTTGCATCACAGCAGCAACACAACAAAGTGAAATATTTAAGGAAACAAAAAATTAAACAGATATCATTATGAAAACTGAAGACAAAATGTTTAAAGAGGCCCTATCATGCTTTTTGGGGGTTTCCCTTCCCTGTTCTTTGTTAGGGTAAAAAACATGCTGCAAGAGGTTTTTTAACAAAAGCATTTTATATGGCCCTCTTTTTACCAGAGGACTAAATAATGCACATCGTGGCGTTTATGCCGAGACATTACAAGGCAAACAATAAATAATAATAAATTGATTAGCTCTGTTAATGTTAGCTGTTCCTTCGTTATTTAGGGCTGCTAACAGCTAACAGCTAACAGCTAACAGCTAACAGCTAACGTTAACCAGCTCTCTATCTGCAGATTTGTTGTTCACAAAGTTTTATTATCAAATAAATATATGCTGTGTCCATCAATAGTACATTTACTGCATCGCGAACATATTTTCGATTATCCCAGAGAGGCCGTTAGTCTTGATCCTGTAAGGGGAAGCCTTTTTTGGTCAGAGTTTATGTTTCTCAAAGATCCTCATTAGTGAGTCAGGATGCAGGTCCCTCCCCTCAGAGACTTCATCACCTCTTCAGGGACCGGTTTCCCCTCAGCTGTTTGCTCTTATATTTCCATCATTTCCTTCTAAAGCATGCATAATGTCTTGACTGCAAAGCATTCTGGGACATGTCCAGATGCTTCAAATGATCAGGTTTCTGTTAGAAAAACTTAGAGTGGCTTAATGGGAGCTTAAAGATAACAAAGTCTGGAAGACATCAAATAAATCTGGTCGACTGTTGGCTGTTTATTGAGCTTCAAAACTATTAACAGGCACACTTGTTTTGTCAAACAACGTTTTTTTTCCTTAGATCTGTTGCATATAAAGGAGACTATTTACAGTACCAGAGAAACACATACTGATATACACCTGAACATCAGCAGGAGAGGACTCTTTAAAGTAGAGACACTACATACTGATATACACCTGAACACAGCAGGAGAGGACTCTTTAAAGTAGAGACACTACATACTGATATACACCTGAACATCAGCAGGAGAGGACTCTTTAAAGTAGAGACACTACATACTGATATACACCTGAACACCAGCAGGAGAGAACTCTTTAAAGTAGAGACACTACATACTGATATACACCTGAACAGCCAGGCAGGAGGGACTCTTTAAAGTAGAGAAACTACATACTGATATACACCTGAACACCAGCAGGAGAGGACTCTTTAAAGTAGAGACACTACATACTGAATATACACCTGAACATCAGCAGGAGAGGACTCTTTAAAGTTGAGACACTACATACTGATTATACACCTAACATAGCAGGAGAGGACTCTTAAAAGTAGAAGACCTACATACTAATCCTACCCTGAACATCAGCAGGAGAGGACTCTTTAAGTTGAGACACTACATACTGATATACACCTGAACATCAGCAGGAGAGGACTCTTTAAAGTAGAGACACTACATACTGATATACACCTGAACATCAGCAGGAGAGGACTCTTTAAAGTAGAGCACTACATACTGATATACACCTGAACATCAGCAGAGAGGACTCTTTAAAGTAGAGACACTACATACTGATATACACCTGAACATCAGCAGGAGAGGACTCTTTAAAGTAGAGACACTACATACTGATATACACCTGAACATCAGCAGGAGAGGACTCTTTAAGTAGAGACACTACATACTGATATACACCTGAACATCAGCAGAAGAGGACTCTTTAAAGTAGAGACACTACATACTGATATACACCTGACATCAGCAGGAGAGGACTCTTTAAAGTAGAGACACTACATACTGATATACACCTGAACACCAGCCGGATGAGGACTCTTTAAAGTAGAGGACACTACATACTGATATACACATGAACATCAGCAGGAGAGGACTCTTTAAAGTAGAGACAATACATAGTAATATACACCTGAACATCAGCAGGAGAGGACTCTTTAAAGTAGAGACACTACATACTGATATACACCTGAACATCAGCAGGAGAGAACTCTTTAATGTAGAGACACTACATACTGATATACACCTGAACATCAGCAGGAGAGGACTCTTTAAAGTAGAGACCTACATACTATATACACCTGAACATCAGCAGGAGAGGACTCTTTAAAGTAGAGACACTACATACTGATATACACCTGAACACAGCAGGAGAGGACTCTTTAAAGTAGAGACCTACATACTGATATACACCTGAACACCACAGGAGAGGACTCTTTAAAGTAGAGACACTACATACTGATATACACCTGAACATCAGCAGAGAGGACTCTTTAAAGTAGAGAACTACATACTGATATACACCTGAACACCAGCAGGAGAGGACTCTTTAAAGTAGAGACACTACATACTGATATACACCTGAACATCAGCAGGAGAGGACTCTTTAAAGTAGAGAAACTACATACTGATATACACCTGAACACCAGCAGGAGAGGACTCTTTAAAGTAGAGACACTACATACTGATATACACCTGAACATCAGCAGGAGAGGACTCTTTAAAGTAGAGACAATACATACTGATATACACCTGAACATCAGCAGGAGAGGACTCTTTAAAGTAGAGACACTACATACTGATATACACCTGAACATCAGCAGGAGAGGACTCTTTAAAGTAGAGACTCTCCATACTGATATACACCTGAACATCAGCAGGAGAGGACTCTTTAAAGTAGAGAAACTACATACTGATATACACCTGAACACCAGCAGGAGAGGACTCTTTAAAGTAGAGACACTACATACTGATATACACCTGACCATCAGCAGGAGAGGACTCTTTAAAGCAGAGACACTACATACTGATATACACCTGAACATCAGCAGGAGAGGACTCTTTAAAGTAGAGACACTACATACTGATATACACCTGAACATCAGCAGGAGAGGACTCTTTAAAGTAGAGACACTACATACTGATATACACCTGAACATCAGCAGGAGAGGACTCTTTAAAGTAGAGAAACTACATACTGATATACACCTGAACACCAGCAGGAGAGGACTCTTTAAAGTAGAGACACTACATACTGATATACACCTGAACATCAGCAGGAGAGGACTCTTTAAAGTAGAGACACTACATACTGATATACAACCTGAACATCAGCAGGAGAGGACTCTTTAAAGCAGAGACACTACATACTGATATACACCTGAACATCAGCAGGAGAGGACTCTTTAAAGTAGAGACACTACATACTGATATACACCTGAACATCAGCAGGAGAGGACTCTTTAAAGCAGAGACACTACATACTGATATAAACCTGAAAATCAGCAGGAGAGGACTCTTTAAAGTAGAGACACTACATACTGATATACACCTGAACATCAGCAGGAGAGGACTCTTTAAAGTAGAGACACTACATACTAATCTACACCTGAACATCAGCAGGAGAGGACTCTTTAAAGTACAGACACTACATACTGATATACACCTGAACATCAGCAGGAGAGGACTCTTTAAAGTAGAGACACTACATACTGATATACACCTGAACATCAGCAGGAGAGGACTCTTTAAAATAGAGACACCACATACTCATTCAATGTCGAGGGAGCCCTTGCAATGCTCACTTCTGGGTCTTGACTACAAAAAAAACATCATCACTGCGCCTCTCTATTTCCAAGGTCTTTTAGAAGTAACATTTACGTGATCGCTTATTTAAAAAACCCAACCTGTGTTTAAAGACCCACCTGTCGTCAGAGCAGCGATGCCAGAGAAATACGCTGCTATGATAACGCCGAGGAAAATTCTCGTTCTTCCCTTCATGTTGGGACGCTTCGTGGGTGCCTCTCTTCCTACAACAAAAACATAACAGAGGTATTTCAGAACTTTGGAAAAAATATGTTTTTTTACTTATAACACATTTCACATGAACTCCTCAAATGTAAAAATAACACTTTGTAAGTTCCAGGAAATACACAAAAAACAAACCTTTATACGAGAGATTGCATTGAGTAGAACTTAATGGTCTATACAACAGTGAGACAGAGGAATGTGTTCAAGTGGATTTGAATCTCTCAGCACGTTGCTCTGGACCAGCTTACTAAAACAGAATATACCAAATATTGTAGAACATTCTTTGAAACTTTATTTAAAAATGGGAAAGTGTTAATATATCAGATACAATTACAAACAAAGTTAATACGTTTCAAACATAGATATTCGTACCATGTTGACTTCAAGGGTTTTCCGTGTCAGTTTCGTGCGGTCAACTTTTGCCTCCATTGTCTTAAAGGTTGTGGCATTTTGGAACATTTAAAGAACAGTAACTGGTGCATCAAGCTGCTGTTTTTAATGTGAAATCAGACCAGATTGAAATGCACACAATATTTATCAACGTCTTCTAACATGAGAGAATAAAGATACTGTTGTTCCCAAGGGAAGCTAGTCTACAGTTCTGCATGATCTTCAATGACCCTTAACACAACACAAGAGTTGGTGTAGCATTAAGTTATTGTTTAACACATATTTTGTTCTTCAAAATCACATTTTCGGTCCTCGAACGCAAATTTAGGGGCATTTTGAGATTTGTTGAGGCATTTTTTCCCCGTTGCACTAGTTAATTTCTAACATGAAAACATATTAGCACTACAAAGAATCAACATTTGGTTGCAAGAAAAGTAAGATAACGAGTGCACAATATAATTAATTTGATAAATTACAAACATTTAGAGAAAAACTATTTACAAAAGTGTAATTTTGTGAGTTTTACTTTTGGGTTTCATGTCAGCACAACCGTTAATCCCAATAGAGTGGAAATTGATTAGTCTGGTGAGACTTAAATACACAAACAATCACAACTTTAACAGTATTTAGAGTTGATATGGACGATTTTGCAGGGATCTAACATGGGCGTCAATGGGCGAGTTTTTGTCACTCAAGGGCACTTTTGGGCCAGATTTGTAAGTAATTTTGATATAATGAAGGCATCGAGAGAACGCTGACTAACGTTGCTACTGAAATCATCTAAAATCACGTGAAAAGAGTGAATATTCTGGGATTTAGAGCAGGTTTAAGATCTTTTTTCCAGTAGATTTTAAAGCCCTCTACACTCTAAGTGATGATGTCATCACTCTGAACATTCCGTCACATACACAGCCATTATAGAATCTGAAACACTCTGAAAAATTCACAAAACTTAAACTGGGATTTTAGGAAAACTGTTCCATCTGTCAAAAGAACCTTTAAGTCCAATAAAGTTGAGAGTCTGGAGAGCAGTTTAAACTTTGGATCTTTTTTCTACATTAAAGTATGACGAAGCAGTATCACCTCAAAGTTGGATGATTTTTAGCTCTGTTCACGTCGATTTCCCATTCGTTCCTATGGGGGCAATGTTTGCAGCTTTTTGCGATTTGGGTGAGTCTCTTAGAAAATACGATAAGTAGCACGTCTAACTTTAAAGTGGAAGATAAGGAATAAGATGAAGAAGTATGCAGGATCATAATATGTGTGCTGCCGTGCCATGCAGTCACACACAATGCTCAACATCCTTCAATGATCCCTTCCCTTACAGTAATGACACCTGAAGATAAGATAAGAAGTATTTTATTGATCGCAAATTAGGAAATGCTTGCATCGCAGCAGCATCAAAAAACAAGGCATTGCACATAAGTAGAAATTAAAAGAGTAGAAATAAACAATTCTAAAATGTAAACATCTCAAAATATAAATAAAACAGCAAGTTGAAAGACATCCTTAATCAGGGTAAAGCAGATCTAAAAGGTGAGTCAGAAGAGTTACATTTAACTCAACAAACTGACAAAAGTTACTTACAGACGTGCCGCTCCTCCTGCTCCCTCTGAACACAAGCAGATGTCCTCCGTCTTTTAGGGGCTGCAGGAGGGAGAGGAGGAGGAGGAGGAGGAGGAGGAAGAGGAAGATGAAGAAGAGGAGGAAGCATCCTGTGAAAGATGAACTTTGTCTCCCTCGGGACACGAGGACATTTCCAAGGAAAGCAGTTTCTGGGTTTTATCTGTTTTATTTTTCTCTAATAATAATGAATGCAGGTCTAACCCGTGTGGTGTTCATGTTGTTACTCTGCAGTGTTCGTGGGTCAGGTGACCCGCTGCCTTTTTGGGCTTCAATTCAACACAATCAAACTATTTCATGTTAAAATACTCAACGGATGTTTACTTCATCCCAATTACAAAAGCAATATAAACAGCATATGGTTCATATTTGCCCTTTTACATTTGTTAGATCACATTCATGAATTAAAGTGCTACTTGTTGTTTTGCCCGCTGACCGGCTGGTCCTGTGGCTCGTCTTTTCTTTGTAACTAGCTGATGCTCAATCTCATCCTCTTCTTCAAAGTCTCTGTCAGACTCAGACTTCTCAGAAATGTGATCCTCACATTCTGAAGCCTCTTCCTCTTCCTCTACATCATCATCAAATGGTTCTCTCTCTTCCAAAATCATCTTTTGGCCATCTTGATCAGCTGTGATGAGAACTCAAACTTGTGTCTCGCCCCAAATTTGCAGCTGGGATAGAGTGGGGATTTCTTTAGATCCCGCAAGACATGATGCACACACACACACACACACAACACACACACACACACACACACACACACACACACACACACACACACAACACACACACACACACACACACACACACACACACACACACACACACACACACACAGTTCAAACTCACGTAGTTGGCTGCATGTAGCTGTATATCGTTAATCTCGCTCTCCTACCTTCTCCCCCACATAGCCTCTTCTCCCATCGGCACCCTGCCACATAGAGAACAGCTCATCAGCACATTGAAATCTTTATTTTTCTAAAGATGAATTTGACTGATAACATTTTTTTATATTTTCAGATGTTCTAAAACAATTAACTCTTTAAAAACACACACACACACACACACACACACACACACACACACACACACACACACACACACACACACACACACACACAGCCCAGACAGGTGCACAGGACTTACAATTTCCACAAACCCAAACCACCTGTATGTAATATAAATGTGTTGGGGGGGGGGGTACAGTGGGTGGTCATCGGAAATGTGTTCTGATATATGTTCTTCACAGAAAATGAGCCAAGGCCATTGAGTGTGAGTTTGGAAAAAAATCATTATTTTTCTTTAGCTAAATCAGGGGCGGGGAACCTCCGGCCCGCGAGACCATTTGGTACGGCCCTCGAGGTAATTTATAAACACACGGTGGCGATCTGTTCATCTGTCATACTGATCATACAGTCAATAACTTTGTTGTTATTAGCATCTGGTTAGCTAGCTATGCTAACGAATATAAGAAGCGTTTTCTCCAACCAGTGAGGTAAAGGCACATCTTTATATGATCATTATAGTTATACAAAAATAAGAGAATAAAGTAAACAGGTATAAAATACTATATGACAGTAAAACAAAGTTGTTATTAATAAACAAGAATACAGTTTGAAAGGAGAGTGATTTGTGAAATATCCTTCCAGTTCTGTTTCATATGGGTGTTGAGAGATGTTTCCATAGATCTCTTCATGTTGCTCTCAAAGTGCACCAGATTGATGCTTTTAACTTCAACATTTAAAAAAAAATCTTCCCGGGGGAGCATGCCCCCCGGACCCCCCTAGAGGAGGATAGGTCCCCCCCCTACTTAAATCATGCCCACATGGATAGGAAACTAAATACATTTGCACACATCTTGTGTCCATATCTTTCTCCACACCGTGCACGTGCATGCATGCGCGAGTCATACAAGGGTTGAATTGTATTGCGTGTTTCCAGGCAACAAACAAGCAACGTCAGCACAGAGCAACACAACCACACTGGTCTCAGGAGATCAATAACTTTAAGAAAGTACATTTCACATTTGTTGTCTTAATTCAAACCATCAGTCTCTCTCCCATGAATGTTCTGCTCCAGGGATTCTTTTCAAATGGTATCACTCCCATAGGTCAACCAAGTACACATGAGAAAGGGATCTGAACGCCAAGAATGGTGTTTGTTTGTTATATCAGCCCCTTTCTGTGCTGTTCCCTCTCCATTAGTGAGGTCTATGTGCATGTACATGGTCTGCAGAGGGAATCCCTGTGTTCCCTACATACCGCAGTTTGTCCCACATACCATCTTGCCTGAGTAAAAGTACAAAAGTATTAGCCTATAAAAATACTTTACTATATTATTATTGTGTGTGTGTGTGTGTGTGTGTGTGTGTGTGTGTGTGTGTGTGTGTGTTATGTCAAGTCTTGGACCTTCTCAATATAACTATACTTTAATTACAGTTTCCAGATATTGGAAGAGGCCCATGAGTCTCTTTGCTAATTATCAATGGTCTTTGCAATTAACAGCAGATGTACCCATGTTAAGTAAATTGGCAAAGGTCAGAGGAACTCCAAGAGAGGTCTTCCTCAGATATAATACAGTCTTGTTAGTTAGTGGTTCATATCCAGCATGCATTAGCTAAGAAACGATAAGGATGTTGGTGTGTGACATCTGGAACTTACATGTTGCTCTGATGTTGGTGCGTCCAAGTTTAGGAGACCTGACAATGTGTGTGTGTTAAACATGATTAGGGAACATGTTCGTGTGTCATTTAGGAAACCTATAAGTGTCCTGTGTTTCTGAATATTCGCGGGAGCATTTCTGCGATTGGTTGCTGTTGAAGCAAGGTAATGTTTCCCCATTGTTGTTTGGTGGTGCGCAACTAAATAATAATGATTCATCTCAACTATTTCTGTGTTTGTGTTTCATTGATTCCTCTCTGTTTCATTCTTTCCTGTTGTGTGAGTGCTGGATCGCCACAACATTTTGGAGGTCCTACCGAGATTGCCGATGCTGGAGGTTGCTGTGTTCCTTCTCTGGGGGTCTCAACTCCCTTGGCCAGGCAGCCCTGAGACGGCTGGGGTAAAATCTCAAGGAATTGAGAAACCAGACTTGAGACTTCCACAGAAGAATACCAACTCACAGTAAGCAAAACGTATTTGGAATGAAATGACTTTTGAAGTTGTATTGGTTAAAAAGAAAAAGCAGAGGAGTGGATTTGAGATATTTGCACGGTTATGGTTGAGATCTGTTGATTGTTTGTTCTGTTTGATGGTTGTTTGTTTTGTTTTATGTTGATAAATGTTGATACTGGAGAGATCACTGTATTCTGCTCGTAGTCTGCCTGAGAAGCTTAAGGTTGACTGAGGGGATATGATCTTTGCTAGCCGTAAGGACATGTTATGCTGGAGGAATCACTGTATTTGCTCGTAGTCTTGAATTCTGCCTGAGAAGATCCTGATGATTTGTCTTAAGGTTCAGAGATGTATTGGCTGAGGAATACACATTTGCTTTGCGAGCCAAGTGCACAAAAACAGGGTGGAGGGTCATGCCTGTTCCGGTCCCGTTCGGTAATTAGAGATTAATAAGCCCGATCTGAGTCGAGGGGGTTCAAAATATAAAAAGCTCTGCTCGCGACTCTGTGAATTCACTAAATACAAAAGTGGAGGAAACCAATGTTTTGTCAGGCCGTAATGAGTTAGAGACTCAGTAATAAAGCGCTAAATGTTTTGGTATACCATAGTTTGTTGTTTTTAATTTCTTATTGGTCAAAGAAGCTGCAGTTTGAAATATGTCCCCCCTTCTCCTGAAAAGGCTGAGAGCTCCAGCCGGGGTGTGGTCTGTCTTTGTCTGTGAAAGTATCTTCCCCCTTCTCCCCCATTCTAGTAAAAGAGGAGATGCTCTAATTGTTGGCTGTGAGAGCAGCAGCCCGGAGTGTGTCTGCTTGTTCTTTTCTCTGATGCCTGAAAGAAGGCTGCATTGTGTTTCTCTGTTTAAAACAAGGAGTGAAAGATCAACGAGTGATCTGAAGTTGGAGTGAATACATTGAAAATTAATAGATCAATGTGTGATTTGAAGTAGTAGATATATTGAAATAAATAAGAAACAATGATTTGTTGCTATTTAAACATAGTCTTTGGGAACTGATTGTTACCATTGCATTGCATTGTGAATTTCATGGTATTTGTCATTTGACTAAGAATTGTACTTAATTATATTTCAAAGGAACTTAATTACATACAGTAACGTTAAGGGAAAGTAAAAAGAGGTTTACTGAGTATATGAAGTACATTAAGGTTAAGGTTTTATTCAAATTAAATATAATAGTGGATTTGTCCACCTAGTATAAGACATAGAAAGAGGAGAATTGTTAAACATGAAATAACAAACACACTGTAAGAAATATATATTGTAATATTATTCAGGAGGTTGTATTTATCATACAATAATGACTCTCATTTGATGGTTGTTTAAAGTAGATAGGAAACTGAAAACGCAAACGATTCACCACAATTGTATATTTTAAGTTTATGAAGGAAAGAGTAGTAAGTAATAAGCAGGAAGTTTTTATAAATTTGTCAGTCAGAAGGAAGCTGTTAATGTTTAAGCATGACAGAGGTGCTGTACGATGCTTGCTCAAGCCCTCTCAATGTTGGATAACAAAGAGGTCAAGTGTGATTGATGAGAGCAGCTTGTGGACAGGAACAGCTGCAGGGCGCAGTGAGGAAAGAGAGAGACAGGAGAATTAAGATGTTTTGAAGAGTCTAGAGAGAGTAAATGTTATATAAAGTTAACTACTATTCTGGAAAATGTTCCTATGGTTTACTGTTTTATGAGTAACATAAAATAAAATATAAATATATATATATTACTAGATATAAGAACAACATGCTTATCTAGGTTAACAGAAAATTGCTATTAACCAGTTTCAGCTGCAACTATCCTATCTTTGTTCTATCAGAGAACATACGTTGAATTTACAATTAATGTTAAGAAAGTTCA